TGACATCTTGTCCCAGCAGTTTCGAGAATCCCTTTTCTCTTTCATAAGATGATGGGCTTAAGTGTTCCTGGTTTTCGCCATGAATTTGCAGAAAGAAAATACTTGTAAACAAAAGGGACCTGAGAGTTACAGTTGGATCGAGCCGATGAGGAGGGTACTCCCAGAAAAATTGGCTAGAGGGGTGCGGCCCGCTTCCCAAAACCCTTACCGTATTTAAGACCAAAATCTGCGTTTTCATTGCAGACCTGCCTTATAATTAGTTCCTTAGTTCAGACCTATGTTTAACATAGAGTATCCCGGAGAGTATGAAAGTGATTCATTTCCTGTCGAGAAAATTAAGGATGGCTCTTGAGAACAATAGATATCGGCCTGTTTAGCTGAAGAGTTCGGATAACTTCTGTGCTCATAGAGAAAATAATCCAAATATGGGCCAAGTTCGATGTATTTAAATTCTGGGACATTGCAGCGAGGCTTAGGGAACAAGGCAAATAGCATTGAGGTTGAGGCACGAATAAATAATTTCTTTTGTTTTAGTCCCGTAAGCCTCAGCGCCATGTAAAAATGCAACAGGAATGTAACGAGTATTTCGAAATTGGCCTATTAGCTGACATGCCCCCGCACAAAAAAAAACCAAAAAACAAAAAACACAACAAAAAAGAGAAAAGAAACTCTTTGGCGGTGCAGGAAGTCTTGAGGGGTCATTCGTAAACTTGTGGTCCATACCGGCAAATGATTATAAATCCACAAGTCTCCAAAAAAAATAAATTCTAAAACCATGATAATAATCGTGCGTGTTATCTGTCACATATTGGTCACCTTATTATTTCTGTGGGCTAAATTGCCGATGGAATATTATATTTTAAAGTCAACAAGCTCATAGTACATTGACATGGTACTGAAGTTTCATATGAACGAATATGAATATTTAAACACTCGAGCGAATATTCAAAAATATAAACAAGGTTGTTTCGGTCGGCTAGATTTTAATTGTTTTTCAGGAATCCCGTTGTGGTCACTTGTGTAAATAAACCAGAGCAAATAACAAAAGTGCAAAAATATTCGGCTCTATCATGGGAGAAACGGCGAAAGTTGGCCTTTTTAAGCTAGATTATCAATATTAAATAGTTAATGATTTTTCTGCGGCAAGTCGAGTTTTTCCTCTTTGGATTTCGTTTCACAGGGCGCCAAGGTCCTAATTTCTTTGTTTCCTAAGTGTGAAATTAACAAGGAGTGAAATGAAAACTATCCTGTTAGCGCCAATTTACCAGAAATAAATTTTAGAAAACTTTTACCAAAAATATTTGTACAACATTGAATATCACGCTATTTGTGAAAGAGGTCTTGGTCATGACTGCCTCAAGGCATATTTATGGCCCGGAAGACAGCGATGCCGTTGGAATTTTGTCGTTTGTGCTGTTATGCAGCTGCATCATTTGAAACCACTGGATTTTGAGGAAAAAATGTTTGTGTGGGTTTGTTATCAGCTTTCAGTGATGTAAACCTATAGTAATTTCACTTTGTTGACTCATCGTCCGTTTCCTGGAGACCTTGTTCACTGGGAAGGATGTAGCGAAATTATAATTACCGAACACCGAGCAAACGCGAGAATATTTTGATGAAATACTTCGAAACACTGTGGAACTTGTGCATATTTTTCTATTGTTATTAACTGTCCCTGCGGGATACATTGCTCATTTCTCAGCGCTGATTGGTTAAAAAACAAAGCTTACAATTAATTCTGACTTGATTGACAGGGGCACTAGGAAACGACGCCGCACCAAGCGAACTCCCTAACGCCAAGATGGCTGCGTTAAAGCCATATCAGAGTGCTTTGCTTGAAAATCGAGATCTTATTCTTCGAGATGTCAGGACAAATGAAGTTTGTCCGTTGTTGTATGTGAGCGGCGTGTTGACCCAGAAGGAAATCGATGGTATAAACATCGGGCGAACCCCTCAAGAACGAACGGAAAGCTTGCTGGACATACTGCATTACAAGGGGCCGAACGGATTTCACGAGCTGTGTGTTGCGTTAGAAGACTCTCATCCACATTTAGCAACCAAGCTAAGGGCCAAAAACCCGCAAGTTGAAGTTTTAGGTGAGCTCTTTTGGTAATTATTGAGGTTCTGTCATTGAGAGTTTTAAAGGGCTCTTCGATACGCTTGCGAGAGCACTCGCTTTGCATAGTTCGTGCATTTCGAACATTGGTTCAAACTGTATTCATTTAGCTTTATTCTCTTTTCTCTTCGCGGCAATTTGTTTTGTTTTTATGCAGGTTTTTGTTGATACGGATTTGTTAATGTATGCAAAACAGGCTATCCAGCGTTTATTGGTTTGAGTCATGACACGGGAATTGTCGTTCGCATATGTTTATGGACTGGAGTAAATTCATGCTTATTACTTTCTAGTTCTGACACCAAGCCTTCTCTTTCCTCCGTTGTATAATTTCAGAAGGTAAACCGAGGGAGTCTTATCCAAGGTATTCCAGCCCTCAGAGGGTTCGAGAGTTTGAGCAGCGAGAAAATAACAACAACGAATTTTACAACGTTAAACGCGACCCTGATTATTACCCACCCGAGAGAAGCTTCAACTCGGAAGAACAACCTCGCAAGGACATGAGAGGTGAAGAGCATAGAGGGAGAGACTACTCTTACGACCGAGGACGAGAAGTACCTCAGTATATCACAGAAAAGCACGGTAATAGTAATGGACGAAACTTTGTGGAGAATGACACTGGAAGTGAACGAAACTATCGAAAGTCCGTTGGCGACGCTAGCGTAAGTTTTGATGTTATCAACCCCCATATTTTTAAAGGTTTACTACACTTCACAGCATTCAATATCAATTTGGGGTTTTCAGAATAACCACATTCTTTTTATTGGTATGAGGAAAACAACTTGCGTTTAGAGTATCTCGGACTGACTGATACGGTTGGTTATCTGGGAACTTGATATGTGTATGTTCCGCGGGGTTGTTGTGTGAAATTGACAATGAAATATTTTGAACGCGCGGAATGTAGGGTATGCGTGTTTATGAGCGTTTAGTAAGCGCATGTGGTAACTACAGCCGCTCATGTGTGGGTTTACGTAGTGTAGATCACATCTAAAATTAGTGTTTTACAATTAAAAACCCACTATGCTGTCACGAATTAGAAAAAAATGAAACTAGCATTGTGTGTATGACGAGGCGTTGTTTATGCCCGAAAAGCTTAGTAGAATTAGCTAAGTGCGGCTGAATGTTTCCATCGAATTGACGTACAGCAAATCGTATCAAAGGGTCAGTTATAATTTGAGGCTCGAATAAAGGTTATTAGGTACAATTTATCCATCGATTACTTTGACTGACGCTAATTCGTTGTGTGAAGAAAATTCTTTCCTCAATTCCCGTCGTTTTTCGAGTCGCAAGTCAGAGAGGTGTTAAACGTGCAAGAATATTCCTGACGGAGGGTTAAATGATGTCATGTCTTTGACTGATTATTAGAGTTTCGTTCAACGAAGTCCTTGATACGACACTAAAATTTATTGTACTTTAGCCAGCATTTAAACCCCGCCTTGTATTTTCGGTGCTTTGGGTCACTAACTTCTCTGGGAATTTTATACTGATCAGCGTTTTCTTCGTTTCGAACCATCAATCATTGCAACAAGAAACCGCGGGAGAAACACAGTGAGTAAAATGTTTGTGTTCGTTCCTATTAAATATGTAAAATTTAGCAACGCTTTTTCGTTTATATTACAGTTGAATAGTCTTTCATGGCCCAGTGACTTTTCTAGCTGCTAGATTATTCGGGTCAGGTCCAGTTACAAAGTCGAGTCGTAGTCGATAAAAACTATTTTATCGCTAATTGGATCGTGGAAGTACGGTTTGGAAAGTAAACAGAACGAAGGCAGTCGACGTTAATGTGTCGACGAATACATCTACTGATAACTGCTCAGCTAAATATCGTCACGTATGGCATCAATATTCGTTCGCGTCGCTTTTGTTGTTTGGGAAGAGTTTTATTGTTGTGCTTTTTGTTTATCACACCTCGAAAGACGCCCGAGCTTTGGTAGTAAAATATATTTGGCAGCAATAAATATATTTGCACTTAAATCACGATTTTACAATAGGTGACAGTTGCCCTGATGTCATGGCGAAAACTATGAGCAGTTCTCAATTTTGTTTTCGTCAATGTGGTTAGTTTATGTCGGAGTTGTTACAGCTCTCTAGGGAACTTTCTTTTTTTTTTTTACCCAGTTGAAAAGTTGTTGTTAATGGTACTGTATTAACACAATGAAGCTAGGTTAAATGCAAGTCTTAATTACCCAACTACAAAATTATTGGAATGCACATCTCTTAAGCCCTTTATCAACATATATTGCTCAAAATATTTAGACAGCGATTGTCTTATCTGGGAAAATCTTTCTGCCCTTATGCTTAAACAAACTCCATTATGCAGTGGAATGATGGCATTGGGACTGTTTTTGAAGAGAACCTGTTGCAATTATCCATTTTTAATAGCTGTGTTTTTGGCAGGGAATAACTAAAACAATATGTAGTCTTTTTGAAACTCCTAGGATTCCAAAACAAATAATATTTATGGCTTTGGACATTTGAATGAAAGTAAAATGTGTGCTTTTTTGCCCAATCCTGCTAGATCATGGACTGGCTACTCCTAGGAAAAAATGGAAATGGAAAGAATAAAATGACAAGTTTATCAAAATGCAGTTCTTAACTTTCTCTTTAACAATGTAACTTGTGCCAAGTACTTGCCAGGGGTTTTGAAGACTATTTATTAGTTTTCAAGTTTTTTTCACAAGTTTTCTTTTTTTAGAACTTGTAACAGCTGTGAAAGGATAGTTATAAAAGGAAAGAACTTTGTTTTACATTTACTATTTTTGGAATAATAATACATGTATTTACCAATTAAAGTGTTTCCAATTTGGCAACTTGTCAGAGATGTAATAATTAATCAAGCTTCCTTTGCAACAGGATCTGGAAATAAAAAATATCTTGGAGTTATACAAGCTGAGAAAATTGCACTAGAAAATTTAACACCAATTGGTTAATTCATCTCATCATTTGCCATATTTCTATAATGTTAAGAGGTGGTTGGTTGTATCTAAGTTCTTGATGTCATGCAAGTAGCAGGTTGTTTTGAATAAACAGGGGCATCTGTTTCCATTACCAGGAAAAATGATAGTTGTTGTCAATAATGCACCATGTACAGTAAATAAATAGTTTTGATCCTTGTCACAAACCAGGATATGTAGTTGAGCTCATTTTAAAAACATCTGCTTGCTGTTATTCTCAACATAATACTTTCTTCTGACTCGATCACTACATTATCAAATAAAAAAGTTACTAGAAATGGGAAAATTTTCAAGTTTTGTTTTTCAATAAAAGATTATTTTAGTGCTTGAACTCGCATCAAAAGACATATGTCCAAGTTATATATACATTGCCTGGGTGAACTATCTTAAGCATTTTAATATTTAAAAGTTAGAAAAGGTATATAATAAATGAGTTCCCTTTTATGGGTAGAATGTGTAGTCTAAACATGATCTATTGATCAGGAAATATTAAAATAAGAAATAAGAGAGCCAATCAGATTTACAAATCGTGTATGTAATGGAAGGAGTGTTAACCAAAATAAAATAGCTAGGTGACTCTGTGTATTAATTAATATTATACTCTTAGCAATGAGTAAAACAGTGACCAATTAACTAAATATAAACTAATATGCTTTCAAGTTGGTCAATAACAACCTTGTCCGGATGTTAACTGGCAACTGAGTGAGATAAGAGTGGTCTTAAAAGTATTTACAGACTGTATCATTCATTCAGCATAATTTTGTTAAAAAAGAAATACAATGAAGGTAGTGTGCATCTTGTTGCTGACAGCATTCATTGCTTTCTAGCTGTATTCAAGATTATGTCATCTGTGTGATTTTCCTTTCAGAATTATGTCCGTCTCTTTAGAAATTTACTGGCAACTACCATGGTTTCCTTTTTGTGTTAATTTACTCGTGGTCAGTTAGATGTTACTTTGATTCTCAGTCATTTTACCAACCATGCATCCTCATATAGCTCTTCTAGTGTTACCTTGCACTGTACATCACCAAAGTTCTGTCATGTTGGTTGCAATCTAACTTGTCACTCTCCCAGTAAAGAGACTGCCATCAGACAACATGTCTGAAGTGTTTACTATCTTAAGGGAAAAAAAAAATATTGAAAACATTTCATCTGGGGTCACAATCATGAGGAGTGCCTGGACAAACCCATGTACCTGTTAGTCTAAAGTCCTTTGAGAGGTTAATCTTTGTTTTGGTAAACAAATCCCTATTTACCCATTCTAAGTTAATGGGTCAAATTTTCTAGTTGTTAGACTATGCTCCCAGAACAGATGTCGTATGTCAACATGAAGTTAGATTAAGTACACAGAAACATTTTAGTAAATGTGCACATTGTCTACTTTATTTGCCTGTCAGGTTTAGGTTTACAATGTAGTGATTTAAATCATTTTTAGTGTGTTGTTAGGCTTGGTGTGTGTAGCATCCTTTTGTACATGTATACAGTATTCAGGTAGATATAGTGCTGTTCTTGTTGTACTATAGGCCATACATGGTGTTATAAATATTTCTTAGCTTTAATTTGTAACTTTCTTGTTTTTAACAGCCCACTGAACAGTACATGTGGGAAAGAAAAACAATAGTTTTGGAAAAGGTGAGTTGGCAGTAATTAAAAATAATCTTTGGCATTGGCAAAAATGACATACATGTAGTTTTATTTTTTCTAAGTTATGTAAAAAATAATATTGCAAAAAGTCATGTATTTCGATTGCCTTTCTTACATGTATGTTGTTAGCAGCGATTATGTATTGTATGAGTCAATTTTGATGGGGCTAAGATCTTCTGTGATGGGCAAGCATCTCATCCAGTGAGTATTAGAAATATTCGTAGTTGCTTGGGAGTAGAAATACTCTTAGTTGCTTTATGCTACAGAAACTGGGATAAGCATTGGCCTCCTGCAGACTTTACCCTTACCTACTAAAATCTTCTTGTGTTTAAATCCATTTTTCTGATGCTATGTACAGCTGTTCATGCATCTGTTGTGGTTCAAATTTATGCTTTGGGTTAAAAGTTTACAAGCTTCATTACTTTTGTTAAACTTCCAGTGTCTTGTAGTTTTGAATTATTTTTTGGGTTAAAATTATATAAACCAGGTTGATTTTTCTTTTCTGTTGTTTTACAAGACAGTATAATTTATGATGGAAATGAATTGCAAACTGAAAACCAAAACTAATTTAAGAAGCAGGCATAGCATTTTTTTTTTCAAACTATAAATAATGCTATTTTAGCCATATGAAGGGCAGGGTCATTATCTCTACTTTCCAAAACAAAAATCTAAAAAAAGAACTGTCTACAATATTGAAATCCTGATAAAATATATTTAGAAATTTAATTACCACTTGCAGAGTGCTGCTGAAATAAATTGCAAGACTAGTACTGAATGTGTTGTGTCTGTGAGTCGTGCATTTCTTTTAGGGATGATTTTCGCATGTACATTGTATTCAGTGAAGTCTCATTACTAATTTGAGACTGAAAGGCAAATTTAATTTTTGGTTTTTATTCTCACATTATAAACAAACATTCAATTCTGCAGGGTAGATAAACTTATAATTTTCAGCTGTGTAAGTGTGTTATATATGAATGTTGCCATTATTGCATAATTTCTAGTTGTCTCCCAAGAGGTGATCAAATCTTGTGCTTATGGTGTCTGAAAAAGAAGTACAGGTGCTAAGATGTTTTCTTCTTTGTCTGAAAGTAAAATAAAATTTGCTATGGCTATGCACAGGTTTTATGTTTACAGACATGCACCTTCCAACTGAGTTTAGGTGAAATTTAGCCAAGATGTTCTTAAATCACTTGTTTAAAAGAAAAAATTGTTTTCAAAACTGTCCTGGGTTAGTTTTTGAATTTTGATGGGGTAAAATGCAGGGACTTTATGAATTTGTCTGGTGAAAGAACATTTTAGGGCAGGGAAGAGAAAGTTAAAAAACTCTCAAATGTGGAGATATTGGGAGCATTTTTGTACTAAGATAATGTAGGCGCTTTAATGAACAAGTTAAAATTAGAAGGGTTGCCTTTATATTAATGAAAAACTTATAAAAATGGACCTTAGAAACATGCCCTTATTAATAAATCTTTTAATCTACTGCATTTCTTATAACAAAATTAATTTATTTATTTTATAATTTTGTTGGGTGCATTTTCTTGTCTTATCACAGTGATATCTAGAGTTGGCTAAAACTAATAACTTCTATGATGCATCTCACAGGCCAATTCAAATCAAGGTTTTGGTATTGCTGTTTCTGGTGGAAAAGATAACCCACACTTCAAGAGTGGAGATACATCCATTGTTGTCTCTGACATTGTACAGGGAAGCCCCTCAGATGGACTACTAAAGTAAGCATGAACTTACTAGAACCAAAAAAACAATAGCAATAAAATAGTAGCTCATTTTGTTGGGAAGTTAAACAAAACCTTAAATGCTAGTCACCTCCTGCCCACAGCCTAACCCCTGAGTGAGAGACACCTGAAGTCTGATTGCAATAATTTTGTCTGGTTACATTTCCTTGTAATTTATCACGATTTTTCATATTAATTAATTTGTATTTGCAAACAGGCATATTGCATTTTTGCATTTATGTATTAATGCTATGTATATGCAGCAAATTGGCGTGATTTGGCATGAAGACATCATCCATTAAGTAAAGATGCAGTAATGTTTTCCTTTCAATTCCTAATGTAAGCTGAAATGTAGAAACTGCTGTGAAAATCCTTTCATTTTGAACTTCAAACCGTGCACTGCTGGAAACTGACTTAAGCAGTGTGATTTATTCTCGGCAGTCCAAGGACATAGTGGGAATTTTTTGTTCTTTTGTCCCACAGTGCAGAACAAAAAACTAATATATCTATAATGGATTGAGGAACAATTATTGTTCCTCATTCCATTATAGATATATTACTACTTTCAGCTCTCAAATAAAAAGTGAAGGAAGTCACAAGTTCATTAACTCCAAATTTACCTGAATTTATTTTTCAGCTTCCTAATTCCCATCTTTGCTTGAAATGGGAAACTTGACTGCAAAGATCATGTCTTCACTAATCCTGTAATTTCTTTTAGATGGCTTGATTCCTTTTGTAAAAAAAAACCTTCTTTGATCATCCATCTTTTTGTTTTCAGGGTTAATGACATCATTCTTCAAGTCAATGATGTAAATGTTGAGAATGTGATGCATTCAATGGCAGTGCAAGCATTAAAAGACAGCGGCAACTCTGCACGACTTGTAAGTTTAAGAGATAGGATATTTTTGATGGTCACATTTCTTTAACCTTGCAATTCCAAATTCTAAAGTTATTAAATTTTTCTTGTTGATTGTGATTTGCTTTTCTTTTGTATTTTTTAGGCCATTAAACGAAGGAAGTCTATGCCCGCCATGGGAACTCCTAGAGAAGGAAGTAAGGTCCCACAGACTGTCACCCTCATCAGGGAACAGCAAAACAAAGGTATCAAGTAAATCCAGAAATGCCTTGCACTCTTCATATCCTTACAGTTACTGTTTTGAAAATTTTTAAATGCAAAGAGAATTTTGATTTGACTACAGCAAAATTACTACTAACAATTACCTACTCTAAGAAGCAAAACAAAATTGTTTCCCAAATACACAGTCACGTTTTTTATACAATCTTGTAGTAATATGTGATGAGATGTTTCCAGAGTTACTATTTTGTTAGTTTCTCTTAGAGGTTATTTCTGTTGTTGATGTGTGTTCCAGTGAGCACTGGTCTGTTCTAATACTATAGGAAGAGTCTGTTCTGAGTAGAAAAGGGAGAAACCAAGTAAACAGGTTTCAGTTAGACTGTATAAAGTAAATAAATATTATTTGGGTTACTGTATGGGACAAAATGTTTAGTTATCAGTTTAGAGAAACAATATGGTTGGGATCATTAAATTTAACAAGGTGTAATTTACCACCTTGTTTGATATAGTTTCTTCCTCTTGTTTTTAATAGGGTATGGTTTTTCTCTTGGTGGATCTATGTTCATAAAAGAGATTGATAAGAATGGCATGGTAGCAAGGCAGGGTGAATTAAAGTCTGGAGACGTCATTCTGAAGGTGTGCATATATACAGCCGACAAACTTCTTGTAATCTGCTTTGCAAGTCAACTCTAATCACCTTGGCTTAACTTAAAGAGATGCTATCTGTTTTAGTCTGCAATACATGTAAAACAGATGCTATTTTAATATTCTTTTACTTCAGACACTTCATGAATAGGAGCAGTTAATTGGCACCATGATTCTAATTTTGATTTGTTGCCATGTTTAAATAGACCACTTTCATAAATGGCGGCCAATTATAAATTCTTTTGCATGTATTAAAATTAGCCTTACTAACCACATTTTGAAGTTGGTTATTCAAAAGAATTTTTACTCTGAAATGAGGTTAGTAAGGCTTATTTAAATGCATACAAAAGAATTTCAAATTGGCAGCCATTTATGAAAAGGGTCTATAAAGTTTCTTGTTGTTGTTTGTTGTTGATCAGTTACACTGCTTTTATGCTAAGAGAATTTATGTTCTCAAGAGAAGCTTATGTTAGCTGCAATTCAACACTAGGGAATATGGTCTTTCTTTCTCGACTATGTTATGGACAGTTTGTCTTGCAAATCATCTGTAAGCTCACATTTTACCATTCCATTAAAGATTAATGACAGAAAGTCGGAAGAGATGAGCTTGAGGGAAGCAATTGAAACGGTTCGTCGCTCAAACAGACTGGATCTTCTGGTGCTCAAAGATGACAACCTTCCCCCTAGTTACAGCACACACTCTCTGCCGCCATCATTCAGACAGAAAGATGGGTCTAGAGACAGGAACATGCCTAATGGCTATGGTGAAGAACCAGAACCAGATCTGCCTCCAAGGTCAGTGCATGGGATTGTGTCTGATGAACTTTGAACATGTTGTTATTTTTGATTTGAGTAAATTATATACATGTACTTTCTTGTGGATTGATAAATTGTGGATCTATATTTTGTTTGGGATAAATTTGCAACGTCATCTCCTTGTAAATAGTGCAAAACTATAAAAATCTTAAATCTGAATCAACTAACCCATGGATATACTGTATATAGATTCCAAAGTTATGAACTTGGCAAAAATATATATAATGTTAATTATTATTACAATAACTGTAGGCACTACAGTGATGAAGACCTACCAGAGCGACCCCCACCTCCCTCAGATAAAGACAACATGCTTTTTTCAGGTCAGTAACTTATCTATTAGTCCATCTTGCTCATGAAAATAGCTAGAAATGTGGGGCAGTGGGGTTTTGTTCTCGCTTCTTTCTTGTGACTAGTGTACATCTACATGTATCTATTTTATCTTCTTTATGTTTCTGTGCCAGTGTTTTAATTACTCTACTTATGAGGAATTGTTGTTCAATTATTCAGAAGCGAGCTGGAAAAGGCCTGATACAGGTGAACGTGTTTCTGGGTATGACAGAGAGGATGTCTTCAGACCTGTGGAGAGTGCGCAAGTGGAATCAGAACCTAATTTTCCAAAACCTGCAGAAGGTAAAAAAGAAATTGTAAATGCATGCATGTAATACAGAGACTGGGATAAATGTTTACTCATAGACTGAAAAATTAGAGCCTTCTTGAACAGCTTGAAAACGTAAATCCTGATTCAAGGATTGCTCGAAATGTTTCATTTGAATGGTCATGCACTAGGATTTCATACGTAAAAGAGGATATAAAATCAAAGGAACAGACAAGGTCCCTGAAAGTGAAAGCTAATTTAAAAACAGTTGACCCTTGGCAATCAATTCCTATAATCTCGTCTTGTTGGCTTGGTAGTGATATGTTTAAAGCAAACTTGACACTGATTGCTAATGTTAATCATTGCTGTTTTTTTTTTTTTTTTTACAGTGTCATATACACCTGGTGGTTTAAGTTCTTGGGGGAGAAATTCTTCTGTGAATGAATCAAGATCAAGTGTCAATTATGTTGAGTCAACCTCAAGTTCCCCCCGCAGTGATCGTCGTGACATGGATTCAGTAGATCGCAGGAGATACAGAGGGTATAATGCTCTTTTTGCTAAAGAGTCTCTTTTTTACATACATGTAGTAGTTTTCTAACTAACAAATGTGTTTCCTCTCAAAACAAGTTGTATTCAAGGTAGTTGCTCTGTTTCAAGGGGCTTTTGTCTTTATGTTTTGGAATTTTAAAGAATACATGCTTTTTAAGAGAAACATAAAAAAAAAATAAAAATAACTTCTAATTTCAATCTGTGTAACTTGCAACAGAGATGCCCGTCTTGTTGCCTTCCGCAAGAGTGGTAGTCTTGGCATTCAGGTATCTGGTGGAAACAAATCTGGTATTTTTGTGGCAGCTGTTAAGGAGGGAAGCCCAGCTTACAATGAAGGATTAAGAAAGGGAGACCAGATACTAATGGTGAGTAACCATGACATAGATCAGGGAATGGTATCTTATCACTGTGTGAAGACATGGCTCGAAGTTAACTTTTTAGTCCACTTGTAAAGTTTTGCTAGTAAGATTTTTTCCACCAGTAAACTGGTAAGACCACTAGCAAATTCTTTCCAAATGTTTGGGAGACATGGATGATTCTAACTTGCAAACGTTTGCTAGAGGATATTTTTCTCACTCGCAGATTATCAAAATCACTTGCATTTTGCAAGTTTGCAAGCATTAATTTTGAGACCTGGAGTATTTTTCAGATTGTCTGGTTGTTTAAATGCAGAACTTGGTCATCCCAGGACAGTGCTCTGAGATTTCTCATGGAATGTCTTTTCTTGACCGGTTAAAACCAGTAGCCCTGTTTCTAACCAAATCAAGGATTTTTTGTCGCAGACAAGATAGTACACAGGGCTACAGACCTGTGTTGCTTATGTACAAAAGAATGAAGCTGGCTGTTCAATGTCAGATCGAATCTTGTCAGAGAAATTGAGTCGTTTTATCACTATTATCATGGTAGAAGTGCCCCTACAGACTTAACAATATTATTAAGCCTTGTCTTTGCTTTTAAGTTATCAAAACAGTGAGTGAGTTTCCTAAAATAGTTTGACCACAGTAGGAGCATCACCTGTTTGTACATTTACAGGCCAATGACATAGATTTCAAAGACATCACAAGAGAAGAAGCTGTCTTGATCCTGCTGTCTCTTGGAGATGAAGTCAACCTGTTGTGCAAGTACAGGAGACAAAGTAAATGTTTTTTGGTTGTTCTTTGAAGAGACCTTTAACAAACTTAGAACCAGCTGTTGCCAGTTGATATCTTGGAACTCTGCTCTACTGTGACTATTCCAAACAAACTGGTTATGACTGTGAAAAATCTGAACTCATTGTAATTAGGAACCAAACGTCAATGCAACATGATGTTAGTGAATAATAATATTTTTTTTGCAATAGAGCGAAATTTGAGTTAGATCTTGTTAGAGTTTCTCAGGCTGTTTTGAGCATAGGCTGTACTACGTTGTCAGTTAGGATTCTATCTTTAGTTAACATTTTTGTCAACTGTTTTTGTTTTGTAGCTTTTGACAAAGTCAGCAAAGAATCAGGAGATTCGTTTTACATCAAGTAAGTTTTCATTAATTAACATTTACAGTGAAAAAGTGACAAAATATTAAATTGGAAATTATATTAAAATAATGTTGTTGTTTGTCCTGTTTTTATGCATATACTAGGAGGTGTTTGAAGTAACCAAAGGAGTTATTCCCATCTTTGTAACAGTTGGCAAAAATCCTAGACAAAGAGCCGTGCAGGCAGCTGCCAGAGTTAATGTTGTTGGCAGAGCCTGCCTAGCGCCAGTTGTGGAATAGCATAACTAGTTTATTCTCTTTTTGTAGGGCTCATTTTGATTATGACAAGATGAAGGACAATGAGCTGGAATTCCAGAGGGAAGATGTGCTCCATATCTGGGACACCATGCATGATGGTGTGATAGGAACTTGGCGTGCACAGATTGTTACAAAACAAGGTTACGAAACAGACGTCGGAATAATACCAAACAAGTCCAGGTGATTAAATTCAGGATTTTATTTTACTTTAGAAGAATTAGTTGAAGACAGACCCAGATAGTCATCTAGGGCGAAGGGAAAGACGGGCAGGCAGGCAGGCAGACAGAGACAGACAGTCAGCTCAGTCAGCCAGTTATAACTGGCCATAATGAAATGTGTGACTACACAATAGAACTTGCTGGACATTTTTTGGGTTGTTCGTCTTTGCCATGTTTTTTTCCTGTTTTCAAAACATAGCATTTTGTGGACTTACGGTCTGTTGTGTTTCCTTACAGGGCTGAGCAGCTAGCCCAGGTGCAACATAAAGTTGAAGAAATGATACCAAAGAAGGGAAATAGTAATTATGGAAGTCTAAAAAGGAGCAATTCCAGAGGTGGAACCCTCAAAAAATACAAGTTTGTTTCATCTGATCATCTGGATGAGGAATCCTTCAGTAAGTGAACAACAAAAAGATAGGAATACATCCTCTATGAATCATTTGCGAAACGCGTAACAACGTTGTAAGATGTAAAACATTCCTTTGAAGGCTGTTCAAACCTTGACGATTTATGTGAATCTGAAAAGCTTGATTATGATTAATATTTTTTTCTTGTTAGTTTCTACTGAAAGAGAAAACAAGCTACCAGCTTACGAGAGAGTTGCTCTCAGAAAACGTAAGTAAATTTGTTTTACATTGTTCTGTAAAATATCAGGGGCCCGTTTCTCGAAAGCCCCGGAAACTTTTCGGGCTCGTTAAGCCATTTTTAGTTCATCTGTAGCTAAAAACGGAGATGTGTATACGCCTGAAACTTCTTGTATGAAGGGAATCTCTTTTCATGTTAAGAATACGTGATTAAAACAGTTCTGTGATTATAAGCTTCGAGATTTTGCTACGGCTTTCCGGGTGCGAAAAGTTTCCGGGGATTTCGAGAAACGGGTCCCAGAAACCTTAAGTGTACGGTTACAATTCTTCAGGTTAAGACTTACTTCAAAGCGATCTTTTATTGATTTCTTTCTATCACCTTAATTTTTAAACAAGCTTAATTTGAATTATAATGATTGTGTTGCACATTCTAGATATGTTCGCGTGTGGAGAGTCTATTCAGTAAACTTAATATTTTTTTGATAGCTGGATTTATCAGACCAGTGGTTTTACTGGGTCCAATTGCTGACATAACAAGAGACAAGCTGTTACAAGACATGCCAGACACATTTGCCATTCCAAGTAAGATAATCCTTTCATATTTGTAAGACTTGCTGTGTATGTCGTCTATATTAGCGTCCGGTTTTCACAGACGCCATTGAAACTTTAACTGGCGCATAAGCATGGAAACAAGCGACATTTTTTTCTTATTACGGAAAACAAGCAACACACACGGCAAGATGCTCTTAAGTAACACCCTTTGTTACGAAAATGTCTCAAAAAAGGCACGCCTGCATATGTTGTTTGTGGTGCTCTCGTATTTGTTGTTTGCGCCCTCGTATGCGCTAGTGGAAACCAGCCTTTAGAAGGCACGCGTGTTCGTTTTGGCGGGAAAGGTTTGGTAGCCGTCGCCATGGTGACCACGCTTTCACGTAAATGTCGTGTTGGCGGATATCTATAAAAGTTCGCCAAAGTTGCCTAAGATTTCTGTACTATAACTCTCCCGAGAAATGCAACCTGAGATACACCATCTGTACTTTACTACAAAGCTACTAGATATCGTTGATTTCATGCTCTTGTTAACTTTTTTAACACAGGCCAGATGCATAGGTGTGAGCAGAGTTAAGCGTGATTTTGTTTGTTTGTTTTTTTTTTTCAAGCTGCCTTTGGTGGAATGCAGCCTCTAGGCAGGAGCCCGATGCGATCGTCCCGTCGCTCGCTCAGCTACACGTCAATCAAGGCTGTGATGGACAGTGTGAGTAATCATTTCTCTCTACTAATGCTGACAGCTTCGAGGAAGAAGGTTTCGACAATGTCTTAATCTTCTCAGGAAACAGGTTTTGACCAAAAAGCAAACTCTCTTGGAAAGCGCGTAGAGGAGTTGAGAGAATTTATCGAGTGGTGCAGGTTTTCGCAGGGGTAATTTGCTCCACTCTTTACAGAAAAGTCGTGTGTTTTTAATGGAATAGAGGAATAGTTAAGTGACGATCTGATTTGTTTAATATCTTTTCGTTTGCTTCTGCAGGGTAAACACTGCTTGTTGGACATCACACCTGAAGAAGTGGAGAGGCTTAACTTTGCTCAGTTGTATCCTATTGTCATATTCCTGAGGCCACCCAACAAACAGATGGTCAAGTAAGTCTTTGCAAAACAAGATCCTGTGTTCACGTTGTAACGTTCCAGGTACAATGGTTAAACGACAATAAGTCAGTGTTTTCTCTACGATAAACGACGTGGTCGTGGTTTGCGGAGTATCCGTGTAACCTTCGATTCAGTTCGAAATCAAGTTTCACTCCATTTAATAATTGTTCTTTGGTGACCTGGTTGCTTCCAGGCTTTAAAGCACTCTTATTTTCTGTTAGGAGATAGTAATTTCTCTTCGTTTTTAGGGAAATGAGAAGTGGCGCTGGTGATCAATCTGCTAAAATGATCAAGAAACTCCATGACAACTCGCTGAAACTGGAGCAGTTTTACAGCAACATGTTCACAGGTTTGAAGCTGTCTCTTGCTGTCTGTCTTGCCGTTAGTGTTGTTTCACTTTGTAATAACACTTAACAAACAATGGAGAGTAAAAGGTTGGAAACTTTGCCCTAACCAACGATTTGATTCACCTTTATCGGTTTTTTTTAATTGCACTACATATACAGGTATGTGCACTTAAGCTTGGTATTCAGATAAAACATCTCATGCAACATGCTCCAATCATTGTCAAGAAGCATCCTGTTCAGCCAATCAGGGACCAAATCGCAACCAATCATTATATAACTTAGACTGGTTCTCCCGCACTTTGTACGGTTGCAAGTTTTCTTCAAGCTCTTAGTGGTTGGTCTTAGTGGTTAATTGCGTTGTTATGTTTGTTGTGATTGGCCAGTTATTGGCCAGTGTGTTCACTTAGGTTCTACTGCAACAAATTGAAAATTGCGGTGTAGGATGGGTTTACCAGAGGCAGTCAATGGACGATTTATGTGCAATTTCTGTTTTTAGCTGTTATTCCCGCGGGCTCCATGGACAACTGGTATTCACGGGTTAAAGATGAAATTAAGAAACAGCAGGAAGATCCTGTGTGGATGTCTGAGGACAAGGTTGCTGTTATGTTTTCAATTTTTCTCTTCAATATTTTTAATTTTATAGCGCGCAATTTTATTTTTCTTTCTCGCCTCTGATTCTGTAACATTTATTCCTCTGTGAACCTTTTTTTCTGGTTTGTAAGCGACATTACTACGCCCTGTTTAGCTTAAATGTCTTATTGACGCTGAATGTTTCTCTTTATTTACAGTTTGACGAGCAGGAGGACATTGAATTCCGCATGCCCAGTCGCTACTCGCAGTCATATGATTTTGACTCCACGTTAGACTCACCAACTGTCCGCTCGTCTACGTCGACGCAGCCTGTTGACGAAGACGCTGTGGTGGCTGATCATGGCTATGAGGTAAAACCTACAAACTGTCGCCCCATCTCTTCCCCCCCCCCCCCACCCTTGTACAAAAAGCCCACCTCACCAGGTCATTGTGTTTTCGATTATCAACTGAAATGAACAGTTGATCCATGAATGGCTAGCTAAGTGACAGGTTTTTCCCATTTTGAACAATTGATTTCAAGTTTTAGACCGTGAACATAACATAACGTCTTAGTTTAATTCGGAAAATGCAATTTATAGATATAATAAACAAACAAAAAGACACCTCCTGAATAGTGTGTTAAGGGAAATCGTGAGGCTCTCCCTGTGTGAAACAATTTCTCCAGCCAAAAATTTCTACAATGGCACAAATTCAAAACTATTTACAGTCGTAGCTCATCACTAAATAGTGATGTAGGTCTTAGGTCTGTTTCTTAGTAGTTACTGAACCAGTATGTATAACGTGATAAAAATCCAAATTCTCTTTATGCACTAGGTGTTCTCATAACTAACATGGAACAAAGATATACTTGTCATTACTGAGAATTAGCATTTCGATCTTGGGGCTCAGTACATTTCTATCTTTTGTCGCAGGTTCATTCTGAGCCACCAGCACGCGAGCGTGATACCCGGGTCCGCCCCGCGTACTCTGAGCCGCAACTCCGATATGACGACCCTGAACAGCAAGATGATTATGGACCAAGGTCTCGTTATGACGACGAGGACTTCCGTAACGGAAACAAGCCGGCTGGGTTTAAGGAGGATACACTGGAAAGGCAGAGACCGTCATATAAGCCCTCTGGAAATATTGTCAAGTAAGTAAAACTGTTCAATCTAGAAGATCGTAAAAGTAAGTTTCTAAAGAAGAAACCAAATGCTAATGGACCTTTTCGGCGATACGTCGGCCATTTTGAATTCTGTTGTTTCAAAGAGTTACTTTGGGATGTTCAGGGGCAAATTGCTCGTAATAGTATCCCGTAATATCTATTTGAAACATGAGAATTCAAAAGAATTCAAAATGGACACCGTATCGCCGAAAACGTCCATTGGGAAGATGTTACACTGTGGGAGTTATAACGTTACGTAAACAGTTATCAAGGGTGTAACGCAACTTATTAAAAGAAGCGTTGTGTGACGTATTTTTGGAGACTTGTGCAGCCAAAGTGGCTATTAACTTCCCGTTGTTTAGTTTTCCTCAAATTTGGAGGAGTCAACAAAATAGTGTTGGGTTATGATAATTGGATTATGGCTTATGTCCGAGGTTTTGTTCTTGTTTTCTAGGCTACTTCCATCTCGAGAGAATCCAGTTGAACTCAGGGAATCACTCAAAAAGACCCGAATGCCCGACGGATACGATCGCCCCGAAGCCGACGCGGAAGAGTTGCGAATGAAGCGCGAAAGTCTTCGTAAAGTCGAAGGTGATTCCGATCTTCTTAAGGAGTACGATGAACGTGTTGGAGTTCCAGTTTCTAAGCTGTGGGCAATCGATAATGAGTCGAGCCAGCGCCGAGAGCAAATTGATCGTGTCCGAGAATCGCCGATTGAAGTTGAACTGAAAAAGAAAGAGCCAGATATGGACCTGGAAAAACGCTTGGAAGATCTGGAGTCCACGTTAAAACCCCAGCGACGGCGCTCTATCGAAGAACGTAAACCACGTCCATATTCAGAATCTTATGACAGAAAGCCGCGTAACATTGTGGTTGATTATGCGAACCCAGACAAGCAAGAAAATGTGGCGCATTCCAGTTACTATCCAACGCGTAGTTATCCAACAGTAACGCGTTTTGACCGCGAGAAACCTGCGGAACCTGAGATTCGTGCAAACGTTGCCGATTTTCGGGTGGAAAGTGCCCCTCAGAGAGATTTTCCAGTCAGTTCAGATAACAGAACAGGCAGCCTACCTCGCGAGCCTCGATACAGAGCCGAAGTTACGATCCCAACCCGAAGAGAACCGAAGTTTGAAGCGATAAGACCCGACCGTCCTCGATCTGCGTATGCTGGCTACGCTCCGAAGCCCTTCAATGCCAGTTATCCCGACAGGCCATCGTCTGGCGACAGGCCTTCGTCACGCGATCCACCCACGAGCAGACCCTCGGACGGACCTCGAGTTGGCGACCAAGTGTCCTACAATTTTCGTTTGTCGGGATCGCCTCGGTTTTCCCGACCAGAGCGCGAACCAGAGCCGAGACCGACGACGTACAGAACAGAGTACCGGCACAAGGTTTCCACAGACTTTGACAACATGGATCATGAAGGACAAAATGTCGTGACAAGGTAAGAGAGCGGGAAAAGTTACGGAAACGATGCAAGGAAATTTTTAGTGATTGAATTCCCGTCCATTCCCTGGCGCATTGAATATGCGATAATCAGAAAAAATCGAGTACTTATTCAGATCCCAGCCAAGAAATGTTTTCACCTCAATTTGATCATGTCAGACTCAACAAGCGTTGGTAAAACGTTACTGTAATTTAAGATGGCGGAAGACTTTAATAACTCTGAGTTCCTTTGTTTCTTGTAGCGATTTTGAATCCCTGGACGAGGACACTCAAGTCGTGGCCACCGCCAGGGGCAAGTTCACTTCCCAGGGAGGAGTCCTGTCCTCCCCAGAGTCCGGGGTCAGTATCGTCATTCCTGAAGGTGCCATCCCCCAGGGAGTGGAGCAGGAAATCTACTTCAAAGTCTGCAAAGACAACAACTTCATGCCTCCGCTTGACTCGGACCGAGGTAACAGAGCTTGCTTTTCGTGCTATAGTACTAGTAATAGCTTTTTAGCTAATTCTAGTATTGGATCCGACGGGTACCGAATAGAATAGCTCGAGCCTAGTGCCTGATTTCACGTGAGCTTGTCGTCATTAGCTTGCATCATGTCCTTAGAAACGCCCTTGTCGAAAATCAATTGTGAAGCTTAAAACGTCCTTTGTTAAAATGTTATACCCCCTTTCCCCTTTTGCTAGCATAAAGTACATTTTCTTTAGCGCTTGTGGTGTTCAACATCTTTGTGAACACGGCTTTTTGGCCATGACGAGCTCTGTAAATTTTGTATCACTGCAGTTCAGTTGAATCCTCCAAACTATCCCAATTATACTGTACTTTTCTCGTACTTGTTATGCTATATTGCGTGACGGTGCGTGACGGGTGAATTTGTGACATTTTAAGTTGCGTTTGTTTTGCTCTAGGAGAAACCCTCCTGAGTCCGTTGGTGATGTGTGGTCCTCACGGCACACAGTTCCTCAAGCCTGTGGAGCTTCGCCTGCCTCACTGTGCCTCCATGACTCCTGATGGCTGGTCATTTGCACTCAAGTCCAGTGATACACCCACAGGTAAGTGTACACTTGTTTTGAATTAAGAAACAGGAAACATTTGCCGTGTTCCTGTCTAGTTATGGAAACACGAGTGGAAGTTTGAGGGAACAACTGCTTGTGTGTAGGGAAAGCAGTAAGAAAGAGACAGTGATGATACCTTACGGACACGGATATTCCGTGTTCATTGAATATGAAGTGGAGTAACGTTGACTTTGTTGCCGCTGTTCCGCAGGTCAGCCGTCCGAGTGGAAGAACGTGGCACTTCATGGTCGTGACTCGCGAGGAGACCAGTGCCAAGTGGATTCCAACTCGGTCTCAGTCCTTGTGGATCACTTCTCTGCTTTTAGCCTGGTCGGCAGAGCTCGTCCTCACACACGAGGCAAGGCTACCAAGCGTATGCTGGCGGCGGTGTTTGCCCCTCCCCCCAGAGTCAATGATGACTGGGCATTGAATGTGATCTTGATGGACGATACGGAGGCAGCTTTTAAGGTATGTTGTTATTTGCTCTCTTGTACGTTAGGCTTTTTCGATTTACGAGCGTGCTATAAGTATTGAATGGCTCGATTGGCATCCTCTCCAGATAAGCACCCTAAAGAATCTCAAATTTGAAAATCCAGATTCTTTCTTCTGTTGAAAAAGCTATCAGAATGATTGTTGAAGTAAAAGAACGTGCAATTACTGCCGGAGGATGGCAAGGACAAAATCGACTTTGAAATCAGCAGCCGAGAGCTTATTTATTGACATAAGTTATTCAGTTCGTCATGTTTTTGCATTGCAAGAAAGTTGTTTAACAGAGTGCTTACTTTCATATCGTGTATATTTGTATTTAGCTGTTCTTAGTTCTTTTGGTCAATATGTATTTGTAATTCCTACCTTGAATTAACACCTCAAACTGAATTTTACCTTGGTTTTGTTCCGCAGGATGTTTGTAATTCTGAATCTGAGCTTGGACGCTTTCCGTTCTCGCCGTTCAAACCCGTTTTAGTTCATGGTGATGCCAGTGACGTCAGAGTACAACTTCGAGACCTTAACAACAACTGGGTGGCTCGCTCGGGCTGCAAGAAGGTAAAGGTACTTTCCTTAGCTCGTTATCGGTGTCTCGTGCTTTGATTGATTATGGAAACACTCCGCTCTTACAGTAGAACATCGAGACAAGTGGAAACCGTGATGAACGTATCGACACTCTCACGATCTGCAGATTTGAGAGGCTAAAAACGAGAACTGAAAACATCCAATAAACAGACATGGCTTGCAGTTGAAATTCTCGTTTATTTAGGCAAGGTTCAAACGTCGAACTTAACATGCACCGAACATTTTACCCATTTGAATCGACTCAAATAATTGACGTTCCGTCCACACTACGCCGGGGGATTTTCTTTTTTTTTTTTGAAAATGGAGGTTTCACTCTGAAAGCGCATCAAATGTTTTCCGTCCACGCTACGCCGGAGAAATTTAAAAGCGCAACAATGACCGGTCATTGTTCGTTTTCAGTTCGAAAGGTTCCGTTTTCAAAATGTTTTCCGTCCACACGAAAACGAAAAGCCGGCGTTTTCAAATTCCTTCGGTTCGAAGAGCGTTTTCGAAAAGCTCCATTGTCGTAGCGAATCAGTGTGGACGGTAGGCCTAACTGTAGAGACAAAGCTACTTTTCCAAATTGTCCGGCGTTGTACGGACGCTGCCAAGTTCGACAGTTTATCCAGACGTCGAAGCTGCTAATGGCGTATAACTTTAAATTCCTATTTCTCCAAAAATCTTTGAGGTAAAATGTAATTTATATCATGCATCAGATTCGGCAAGTTCGACGTCTGAACCGGGCCTCTACATCCTTTTGCCGTAAGCACACTGACTGTTTGACACGCTAAATGTTCTTTTGTGTGTCCTTNGAAAACGGAGGTTTCACTCTGAAAGCGCATCAAATGTTTTCCGTCCACGCTACGCCGGAGAAATTTAAAAACGCAACAATGACCGGTCATTGTTCGTTTTCAGTTCGAAAGGTTCCGTTTTCAAAATGTTTTCCGTCCACGCGAAAACGAAAAGCCGGCGTTTTCAAATTCCTTCGGTTCGAAGAGCGTTTTCGAAAAGCTCCATTTTCGTGACGAATCAGTGTGGACGGTAGGCCTAACTGTAGAAACGAAGCTGCTTTTCCAAATTGTCCGGCTTAGTGCGGACGCTGCCAAGTTCGACAGTTTATCCAGACGTCGAAGCTGCTAATGGCGTATAACTCAAAATTCCTATTTCTCCAAAAATCTTTGAGGTGAAATGTAATTTATATCATGCATCAGATTCGGCAAGTTCGACGTCTGAACCGGGCCTCTACATCCTTTTGCCGTAAGCACTCTGACTGTTTGACACGCTAAATGTTCTTTTGTGTGTCCTTCACGCGGTGCTATTTTGTTATTTCTTGCAGTTTATTGAATTTCACGACTCCTGGGAGGCATACCGTCATGCTCCGTGCGTGGAGTTCTTGATCCGTGACCGCAACTTCAGCCCAAGCAGCAGTGTTTGTGTTGTCGACGTCTTCCAGGAGGGTCATGAAGGCGAAACAGCTGCTGTCAGTGTTTCTACCAGGCCTCGAAAGGTATCCCTTAAAATAGCTTTAAAATTTCATGATCATCTCTCCAAACATTTCAGCTACAATTTTGAAGTATCTCGCAAGTTAGTTTTGTCGTCAGGTAATGTTAAAAATGCAGGAATGAGTTGATTTTCAAGCCAAAAATTTTATGGTATGAAGGAACAATTACAATAATCTCAGCGTGCAAGCGCTCTCTCTTTGGAGAATCTTTGTTCGCAATATTTGCCTCATTAGCACAAGCGACACAGTTTCTGATGGAAGTACAGAAACATTAGTTCTGAGTATTGAAAGGGCACAGCACGATCAACTGTGCCAAGGAATTAGAGCGCGATGTATTGAATACTTTTTGTGCGACCCGACTTTCAAAACTCAAAATTTTACAAAGCATGTATGAGTTCATTAGCGCTTTTGCCACCCAGAAATTTTTGCATTTTTTGAAAGCCAATTTCTCCTCGAATATTAACCCAAGGAGCCAAAAAATGCACCAATTACTAAGTTTCACAAGCTCTTTAAATGTTTGTAGTCAATGTGCGTCTATGTGATGCCGTTTGTTACTGAGGAAAAATGTAAACAACTACGTCGGCAATAATCTCTTAGTTAACTGCTGGTTTTTGTCTTGGGTTTCAGATTGGAGGACAGAAAGTTCAATATCTCATTTGAGGAAGTTGGCAGGTTGCAAGAGTTTTTCTGCTGGCGACAACACGCACAGAACTGACACCGTATTGAGTGTCTCAAAATGCTATTTTTATAGGACAGCGAAACCTGAATATGAATGTTCAGTGACGTACAGAAAACCGTCAAAATGCAACTTGGTTGTTTGTCATATTTATTTGGCAGCGCACTGCATTTGAATGGTTGTCTCGACTGAAACTCCAAAGTAAGCACATCGTAGTCGTGTTGGTCTTATTGCATTTGCCTTTTGTTTCTTTTGCCTGATCTGGACGGGAAGAAACTTTTTTTTCTGAAGCTTTTATTGAAGATATCGTGAAAGGGGGGTCACTTTTCCGTAAGAAGTAAAACCTGCTTTGATGGCAGTTACAACCTATTTTAGGTAAATTCGTAAATTCTATGCAATGATCAGTTTGTTGAAACAAAAATGTAGTAAAATAGAAATGAGGCTTTAAATGAGTTTTCAAAGAGTTATCCTAAAGCGCTGCGAGTACGCAGAGGATAATCTTCAATTGTGAAATATTTCAATGAGTTATCTTTTTAGAATGTACATGTATGATTGTGTTTTAGTATTTTAATCGACACATGAAGGCTAAGGAAGGTTTTAATTAATTCACGTAAGGGAGTCACACAATTTTCAAACAATAATTTCGTTTTAACACAGTACTAAAGGAAGTAACGCTTCAAGTTGTTTTTATGATTGTTTCTTTGTTACTGTGAAATCCTTGAAACTTGCGCACCAAAGTATTTAACTCGCCCAGTAAGGGTTTGTTTGCAGAATAGAGAAACACATTTGCTTTTAAACTCAACCTGTTAGATCCGAGCTGCTCTGCAATATGTGTTGTCAATTTCATCATTGGCCGGGAGTATATCATAAACTGGGCTTAATAGAGTAATTTTAGTTAATTCGTAAAGCATTTTTAGGAAGACAACAAGGCTACATATATACTATAATAGTTTTCAAGCGATCAGGTTTGTAACCCAGTCAAACATTACGCTGTATCAATAAAGTTCGTACACTTTTACTACATTAGTTTAATTTTGTTTTCATTTTTTTTTTAACGCCCTCTGGAACATAGTCTCCTTCGCAGCCGAAGGAGACTAGCTGGAACTAGAACTGTTCGTGTGAAAGACGATTCCCTGTAGTTTGACTTAATGGTCAGCGTGGTTGCTCAGTAGCGGGACAGTGCAGATTTTAATGTTCTTACAAGTCCAGTTACGAGCTCTCTCTCCTCCCTTTTCCTGATTTTCACCCTTCTTTTTTCTTCGTCATAACGAACATTTCAACTTTATCATTAATTCGTATCGATGTTTATCACATTGTACGCTTCGACAAAGCTGATCATTTGTGATCTAGCTCACCATGATTCTCTTCGTACCCCAGTGATTAGAGTATCCGACCGTTATCTGGGAGGCCCGTCGGGAACACTTTTTCTTTGTCTTACGATCAGCACGTCTGTTGACTGGAATGCCCACTCTCGTGACAATGAATTATTGCGGTTACGTTACGTTGCCTAGCAACATCTCAGGGGTAGAACTAGGGGAAGGGTGCAGGGGGTGCGAGCCCTCCCCCCTGAGATGAAGCCTTCTGCGTTTTCGCTTTTAAAATTTGTTTACCTCACTAGTCAGTTACGCCATCCCTTAGCGGTGCGCCCCCTCCTAAGAAAAATCCTGGATCCGCCCCTGCATCTTGCCAAAATCACGAGTCAAGTCGGTTACTCTGAAAAACGTCTCCTTTCAACTCGGATCGTCCTTTCTAGAGCGTTCTCTGAAAAAACGAACGCTTGATCCAGGATGGCAAGTTAACTAGAAGTTCCAGTTATTTCCGGAAATGTTTTCGTGATCAGGAACGGATCATCATTTTCCGTTCGACTACACCGGAAATGCCAATTTTCCCGAATTTCCGAAAAAAAGGGGACAAAACTTCCCATATTTTCGAAAACTTCTTCCAGACAATTCATGTTTGTTCTATTCAATGTTGTCACCAAAATTTTCGGTTGAATGGTTTTTTACATGGCATTGCACATGGAGGGAAAATTATCTTAATAGATTTGACCTGAAAGCAAAACAAAACTGAATTGTTCTGGACCTTTTTCTGATATGCAAGGTTTCACAAAGAAGCCTTTCAATGTGTCTGTCCGTATCTGTATTCAGCAAATCATTCTTGTTTACTCTGCTGAGTTGCAGTTTGCAATATTAAAAGGGAGCCGTGTGTTTAGAAGACAGCACCACGTGCCACAGTGGCCGTGTTTTCTATAGAGATATGACCTTGCCGGGGGGCATGCGAGAGAGCTCATCATAAAGGTCAGCACTGTTATTGACCACTCTGAAATGGATTTCTTTGATTTTTGAAGACCGTTGGAGACCTGTTGAGGGTTTTCCAACTTTTTTGCAGATTTATTTTATTAATCTTAGCTGGAATTCCTGTGGCAGTTGAATTGAGAACTATGTTTTCAATGGCATGCCGTCAAAGTTCGTCCACTTTTCCAGTTCTCAGTGAAAATGTTCGTCATCTTGGGTCAGTCAGGTTGTCCGTCTTGGAGTCACCGTAATTGGAAAAAAAATACATTTTTTTGGTGCATTTTCCCCTAGCTCCTCTGCTTTGAAATGTGTCCCCGCAAAGCAATCCCGTTGTGTTTGTTTGGATCCGATTTCACAGCTCCATGGCTACATCTTACTGCGCTACAACAGTACAGACAATGTTTTAAATTCAGTTCGTTCAATAATTAGTAAAACAGCTTTATGAAACTATCCAAATTAATGAAAATTAACGAGTTCCAAGGTTACTCAAGGGTGTTTTGAATTTCAAGTCGAGCTGAATTTTAATTTTTTTTATTTGACCCTCATCAGAACAATCCAGCAACTTCACAGTTCACATATGTCTTTATGGGCGGTGTGAGTGGTTGATAGAATATTCATAGCGGGGAGCTATTCAAGAAGACTGGGTCGGGCTTGGTTATTTAGCAGACGGCTAGGGAGTGTTGAAGACGAATTTCTCTCTCGGTTTTTTGGCCAACAAAACACCTTAACGGCTCTTCAAGTGGTTATATCGTGTTTATAACCGCTTTAAGGTTATTTGCGGCAGACGAACACAGTTTCCTATAGCAGAGCGACAGTAATATTTCGTTCTCGACAGGAATTGGACGCCATGTCTTGGCTGATGAAAAAGAAAGAACCTGTAAACTTGGAGCAGTTTAGAGACATTGATGAAGATGCTTTAGTGGAAGGTCTATCTCCAGAAGAAATAGCAGATCTCAATGCAGCCATTGATCCCGAGGTAAGAGTGATGAATTTGAGTCATGTTGTCTCGAGAGTGATCTGACCTCGACAAAACAATCACGCCAAGCTGTAGCTATCTGACTTACGCTTGATCCTTACATGAAATGGCATGTTTTACCTCTTAGTTGCTTTTGCCTTTTACTCTGCTGCACATCAATAACGTATTTTTGACATTTTGAACGTCTTAACGGGGAAGGTTTCGTTTGAAACCGCGAATTTTTGACTGTTCGTCTTGTGCAAATTCATGCTGAGTGACTGTTTTAGTAATTTGCACGCATGGTGCTTATTCACCCATCTAATGAATACTCACTTGATTTAAAGCACTGATATTTAAAAGACAGCCCGCCATAGTACTTCTAAAGCTGTCGTTTGTTCGATTCGAGATGTTAAAATCAATGTGATAGTCAACTTTTGTTTCGCTTGCAGTAGATATCCTTGGGCTTGTGTTTATGTTGTACGTTGGTTTCGATATTGGCCTGCGAAACATTTTTTAGAACAGTCGTATTTGTTTTCCGCGCGAGCCTGTCACTGAGGCATGCTTTGGAAAAGTGAAAACACCGTTCCATAAATACGGGATTTTTATGTTCTAGGAAAGCTCATAATATATGATGTGATTGGCCAGTAACTGAAATTATGTTCAAAGGAAAAATGGTGAAGATTTGACAGCAATCACACTTTCAGTAATTTATCCCTCTCTGTATGAGGCCCTAAAGGTGGGAGGGGGTATGCATGACCCCTGTCAGACGTTCAAACCTTTTCATCTTGCAGTTTTGAAAGGTCCTCACATCACTGTTGGAAATTATTTCAACTCCAGTCATGTTGTTTTTCATTATATTTTGGGCTCCATATTGCTGTTTCAATGCTGTTTCAATGCTGTGTTGGAATCTTATCATCTGAATGGGAGACTCAGTTTTCTTTCTAATTGTTTGTAGATAGGTACATGTAGGAATATGAGGGAATTTGTTGAAGTTTGCTCAACAATGGTAATGGGTATGCTAATTCCAGAATTATGTAGAGAAAGTTTTCCTTCAGTGCGGCACTTTGCAAGGTGACNTGCTGTTTCAATGCTGTTTCAATGCTGTTTCAATGCTGTTTCAATGCTGTGTTGGAATCTTATCACCTCAATGGGAGACTCAGTTCTCTTTCTAATTGTTTGTAGCTAGGTACATGTAGGAATATGAGGGAATTTGTTGAAGTTTGCTCAACAATGGTAATGGGTATGCTAATTCCAGAATTATGTAGAGAAAGTTTTCCTTCAGTGCGGCACTTTGCAAGGTGACGTGACGTCCACAGTAACTAGCAAACTTCAGGTGCTAATAGAGCAGTTATGGGATGGTTTATGCAACATGCCTGTGTTACTAGACAGAGTATTGATTATGCCAGGTTATTGGACTATGTGTATTGATCATTTATGCATAGTCTGTATGTGACTTCTGGCAGCTTACAATGAAACAAGGAAATTCTACAGTAAATTATGTCACATATATTGAGTATATACTGGGTTTTGTCATGAAACTGCGGTCATTTACATTTACACTTAAGTAGCAATTAAATCACGTACAGATTGAGTTGCCGATTTCAGGAAAGTAAAGCAAGGGTTGAATATCTGCAAACAAAATAAATCAAAACCAGTTGAAGGCATCAAACATGCTTATAATCTTTGTTTACTGGTAGCGTAAAAACATTGGAAGAAGAGGCATGGGATTAAATTTTGTGATTCAAAATTTTGAGACATTTTTAAAGATTCCTCAGTCAAAATGACTGTTTTGCCTGGCAGAATGCACTGCTTCCAGTTCACGAGCGTCAAGGTAACCAGACAGACAAGGGAAGTACCGGACCATTCGACAGACAACACCTCCTGGATCACCTGGAAGAGCAGGCTAAGAATGAAAAAGAACGTAGTGATTATGTACCATACAAGAAGGAAACTCGCGGCAAAGTGTGGCGGCCAAAAGAGCAGCCTGGGAGAAAAGAACCTGCACCACTCCTCCCTGATGATCTGAGTGAAGTGTTAGATAATGCCACTGACGAGGAAATGATGGAACTGGCAGGTAAATATTGTGATTAATTTACTGGTCACATGTAACAAGCATGTTATACCTAGCATATACATGTGGGTCTCATTCTTACTAATGTACAGGTGGACCCCACTAATTCAAACTTGGATGTCTCGAATAATAATTATTGGGGAATAATTATTATTCCCCATTATTTCAAGCTTGATCCCATTTCCCTTGGATTTGCCTTTTTTTCAGTCATTTACTATTGGGCTATTTCAAACTTCCTGCCATTTTGAACTGATTTCTGTTTCCCTTGGCCTAAAATCAACCCTGTTTATCTCAAACTTTATTGGTAGAGTCGATAAGTAACCCTTGTCATGAAGTCAAACCGTGTCAGAACACAACTGGAGTCTTTTTCTGGCCCTTGGTCAATAAAAAAGTACATATTACATTTTTATCATGTTGATGACATTTTTAAATTTGTATTAACTTTTATTTTCAAATTTAATTTAGCTATTTCAATCTGTGTTTTCTTTTCACCTCAGAGTTTGAAATAGCAGAAATATAAACCTACAGAATTCAGAGTGAAACAAACACAGTGTATAATAATATGAGGCTTGTCAGATGACTTGATAAACAACTACAATTAGTTAGAAGTGTCTTTATCTCAGGTTACTAATAGGAAATATTGGTTCCCTACGAACAAATAGAGAATCAAATTTTTCACTAGCTCATCCGAGCTCTGAGTTGATCAATTGTAGTAACAGCTTACTCTCCCTTTTTGTCTCACCCTGCTAAGATAAGTCCCTTTTTGGCACAACTGAAAGGCCAGTCACTTCAATCTGGACAGGATGCTTTTCTACTCTGACAAGCTTGTTTATGATTCAATCAATGTTTTAGCTATTCTTGGTGTGCACGGCATGCTGACTCAAAACCAGAGTCATTATGCAGAGAAGCAGGAGGCTGGTAAAGCCCTCAGAGGTAGTGGCTTGAAGAAATACAAACCTGGTGAGTTTGAGACTGTCTGTGGTATACATTATCAGGGCTGTCATTAAGGGCCGTAACCCGTAACACCTGCTACGGCAGAGTATTGGGTATTCTTGACATCTATAACTGCCACAGATGTAGCAGTAAATTTGTAGCAGCGATGTAAATTAATTCTGAAAATCCCATTCGGGAGAATTGATAAATGTATTGTATTGTATAGATATTAAATGCTCTAAGCTTTTATTACTGGTAGGTAGATGGGTTAATTTCTTATCACAGAGATAACTCTGATGACTGATGTTGTGTAGGAAGTGAGTATGTCATGTTATGGGTCGGCAGGTGTTGATGTACGTTGCAAATAGGTCCTGAAAACTTTCTTGTTGATTGAGAGAGAAATAATTCATGGTAAAAATTACGAGTAAAAGTAAACTATGTTTGGACCGCTCTTCAGTCATTCTCAAATTCAATGTTGAGAGTAAAAATTAATTTATTTTCACTATGTCAACATTGAAAGTGAGAGTGACCTTACTGATGAGGGTGAAATACATTTAAAATTTAAGAAATTGCAAAGTATAGCTGTGTTACCGTATCAGTTTAGTGTCTTTTGTTTTCACGAAATAATTAGTCTTCACAAAGCTACCAGGTTAGTGGACACAAACATAGTTAAAATTATGTAAGTGTTGATGTTTTCACATAGGTTGCGTCATATTTAAATCCAAATTAGCAAATGACATTTGCTGATTTACTTTCAGGATAAAAATATCAGGAGATTACCTGTTGGTAAAACTTGACGTGGAATTTATTCATGCCTTGATTATTTAATCATTACTTGGTGTTGTAATGTTAGGTATCGTAAAAGCAGCAAAAATAAAAAAGCCTGACCTTACAGCTGTGAATGAGTTGGATCTTGAGAAAGCCTTGGATCAATTGAAGAGCAATGATGCTAAACTCACAAATCTAAACTTGAACAATCATCGAGAGGTTACCACAGAGGTCCTTGAAGATGTAGCAAAGGCACTGAAGAATAACACCAACCTTAAACATCTGCAGTTGGCTAACACACAAATGACAGACATGACTGCTAAGGTACTGATGGTACTTTTATTCCATAAACTGTGCTTAACTCTGTGTGCTATGGTCAACCTTGCGACTGTCAAATTTGTTGTGAATGAAAGTCCTCACCATTAGAGATGCCATGAATAGTAATGTGATTTGCAACTGCCAAAAGTTTGTGGTTTTAAGCCATGACTGGTTGGATTTAAACTGAGTCTATAGTATAGCCTCAGGCCTTTCTTTGTTTTATCAGCTTTAAAGAAAACAGTATGATTTAAAAGTTGATTGTTTTTAATTATTATTTTCTCTTGGCTTAGTTGTTTGCAGAGGCTCTTAGTAAAAACAGTACTCTGGAGAGTATCAATCTTGAGTCCAATTTTCTGACTGGAGATGGGATTATGGTAAGGAAACTGTTATAATGTTTCTATAGGCACACAGGTACCTTTGGACTTGGGTGGGGGAGGCAGTGACCTTCTTGCCCAAAAAAATTACACTCGAGTGTTGAAATTGAGATGCAAACCCACTAAAATTACATGAAAAACTAAAGAGTTTACAATTCTCCCATCTAATGAAACTGCTATAATTTTAAATAATAGTTATATTGAAAGCTTAGCATACATACTGAATGGCCTCTATCAGCAGTCTCATTTTTTGTCATTTTTTGCCCTAAAAATTTGGTAGCAACTGCAGAGTCCACTGGGGCGGGGTTAGATGGAAAACAAACACTGCAGAACTTTCATCATCAATTAAGACAAAGATATTCATCAGTTATGCCTAGTCTTTGGATATTGCCAGATTTGAATTAAATGCCATGCCTATAAGTTCTCGTCCCTCTGCAGTCAATAGCAAAAATATGGTAATTTAATTATTTTCACTGACCAACCATTTTGTAACATATCAATGTCATTAGGAGGAAATAGTTATTAATCACTGTGGAAATCAAAGGGTTACTTCAAGCTAAATTTAAAAAAAACCAACAACACCACCACTAGTACTAATTTGCTTCTCATTTCTAGGCAATTATGACAGTCCTAGAAACCAGCTCCAACTTGAAGGCACTGCGGCTAGCCAACCAGGTACGTAGTGACTATGTTTGCTTAGACTGCAAGTTGAATCGCTTAGAACTCTCTGTCCGAGGATATAAGAAGGGCACCGGATTTAACTAGTTTTAAGAGACAGGTTAAGCAGTCCTGCTTGTAAATAATGTATATTACCATTTGTATTAAGTAATGTAATTATTAAGAACAAGTTGGAAATACTAGCATTTTTGTATGCTAATCAAAAATCCAAGTTAAATAAAGAGATATATGTATGTATGTATGAAATTGCTTCAAGCCTTGTTATAGGCATTTTAGTCACCGTCATTGTAATTGAAATTGTTTTGATGACAAAAACATGGAGAAGAAAGAGACCAGGGCCTTGGTCATTTGTTTAAGCTGCCAAGCTCAAAAATGATGTAGGATTTTATTCCAAAGAGCAAGTTTACAAAGTTAAAGATTAAGTCCTCCATTAGTTGGTCTCCCTCCCCAATATCCTGGCAGCAGTGCCACAGAATACGGTCAATTCTCTCAAAGTGTATTTTGGATACCTCCCTGGGACAGACATGAGTATCCCACTTGTTTTGACTGAATTTAATGTGCTTCCTTGTAACTGAACTCTCTGCAGGGCAGATCAATGCCTCTCAAAAGGAGGCAGGTAGACCTGAACTCAATGATGTCTACCTCAGAGAGAGTTCACTGTATTGCACTTTATGACAGTGATGTGTGTTTTTTGGTTGTATTGTTTTCTTGTAGTGTGCTATAATTGGCAGCCAAGTAGAACAGAAAATTGTCAGCTCTTTGGAGAAGAATACAACATTGTTGACATTTGGCATGAGCTTTGACACCCAGGGACCAAGGATCAGAGCTGCAGAGCTTATGGTCCGAAACAATGATACAAGTAAGTTAGTTCAGTACAGTACTGCTACGGTAAAGTTACTTCTATGATGTAATACGTTAGATTAAAATGTCCATTGGAGAAATCTTGGTTGAGTGGTGGTCTTAAGCTTTTCTGATCAAAAACAGGTCTGAGGTGGCAATTTACAGGTAGTTTTCTTTTTTCTTAAAGTTAATGGGAGATACTTTTTGATGTGCATCAATGAGCAATAGATTGCTGCACCTCTTGAAATTCTAAGAGCATTTATTTAAAATATTTTATCTTTTGGCTGAACTGGACTGCGATGAAAAGAAGAATTCTGACTGGTTCACTTAGCCCTTAATTTTGGGTAAATTAATCATTAAATTCACTTTTTTTTATAGTTCGACTGGACAGGGTTGAGAATGGTGTTGAAGATGAAGACGATGAGGAGGAAGAGGAGGAAGAAGAAGAGGAAGAGGAAGACGATGAGTGAAAAATGATTTTAGAAAACTGTTCATTTGCTTTTCTTCTTTAAGCTGCTATGAAGGGTCACTTATTGTGTGAATTAACTTCAGGGCAACAAAGTACTTTGCAATTAATCAAAGCATCTCTTTGGGAAGCATGTACTAAGATTCCTTGGCAATTCTTTTTCACTTCCATGATTGTAGTTGGTGTTACCAAAACTAGGTGCATGAAGTCAAGCTAGGGATGAAATATAGTTTTTGTCAGTAATTATTTAGATAGGTATAACAATATCGATGAAAAACCTGTATTTGTTGCTAATCTTAGTCTAAAGAATGAATGAATCATACACTTGTGATTTGTCTACCTGCTGTGAGGGAGTTACTTTAATTTATAATAGGCGGATAATTCAAACAATTAAGCTGAGTTCTAACACAGCATGAATTTAAACGATATTCCTGTAATGTGGAAGGAAACAAAGTTGAATTTTACGTGAAACTTTGAGATTCATATCCGCCATAATTGGTGCAGTTCTTCAGCAGTTGTTTTATACCATCCAACACTTCCTTCATTCAGTTGCTGCACGTGCAAATTATGTATGATGGCTGCAACAAAAATAGTTGACGTAAAATGTGGCTTTACTTTTTCCTGTTTCGTTTGGGGATTTCCTGCATGTTTTAACGTCTTGTGTTGGAATTAAATCCCACTTGTTCCTTTCGGCTGTTCAAACACCGAAGTTGTACATGTATGAGCTTTAGTGTTTTTCCCTTTGCTCATTTGTTTCGTTTCTTAGGGTTATTTTACTAGAAATGCTTTTCATTTTACCGTCACTTACATCAGCCATATAGCAAATTATATAATTATGTAGTTTTGGATTTTTTTTAGATCGTGGGAGAAAATCTTAAAACACAAGTGATAGCTTTTTTGCAGTTGTGGTAGCAANACTGACGAGGAAATGATGGAACTGGCAGGTAAATATTGTGATTAATTTACTGGTCACATGTAACAAGCATGTTATACCTAGCATATACATGTGGGTCTCATTCTTACTAATGTACAGGTGGACCCCACTAATTCAAACTTGGATGTCTCGAATAATAATTATTGGGGAATAATTATTATTCCCCATTATTTCAAGCTTGATCCCATTTCCCTTGGATTTGCCTTTTTTTCAGTCATTTACTATTGGGCTATTTCAAACTTCCTGCCATTTTGAACTGATTTCTGTTTCCCTTGGCCTAAAATCAACCCTGTTTATCTCAAACTTTATTGGTAGAGTCGATAAGTAACCCTTGTCATGAAGTCAAACCGTGTCAGAACACAACTGGAGTCTTTTTCTGGCCCTTGGTCAATAAAAAAGTACATATTACATTTTTATCATGTTGATGACATTTTTAAATTTGTATTAACTTTTATTTTCAAATTTAATTTAGCTATTTCAATCTGTGTTTTCTTTTCACCTCAGAGTTTGAAATAGCAGAAATATAAACCTACAGAATTCAGAGTGAAACAAACACAGTGTATAATAATATGAGGCTTGTCAGATGACTTGATAAACAACTACAATTAGTTAGAAGTGTCTTTATCTCAGGTTACTAATAGGAAATATTGGTTCCCTACGAACAAATAGAGAATCAAATTTTTCACTAGCTCATCCGAGCTCTGAGTTGATCAATTGTAGTAACAGCTTACTCTCCCTTTTTGTCTCACCCTGCTAAGATAAGTCCCTTTTTGGCACAACTGAAAGGCCAGTCACTTCAATCTGGACAGGATGCTTTTCTACTCTGACAAGCTTGTTTATGATTCAATCAATGTTTTAGCTATTCTTGGTGTGCACGGCATGCTGACTCAAAACCAGAGTCATTATGCAGAGAAGCAGGAGGCTGGTAAAGCCCTCAGAGGTAGTGGCTTGAAGAAATACAAACCTGGTGAGTTTGAGACTGTCTGTGGTATACATTATCAGGGCTGTCATTAAGGGCCGTAACCCGTAACACCTGCTACGGCAGAGTATTGGGTATTCTTGACATCTATAACTGCCACAGATGTAGCAGTAAATTTGTAGCAGCGATGTAAATTAATTCTGAAAATCCCATTCGGGAGAATTGATAAATGTATTGTATTGTATAGATATTAAATGCTCTAAGCTTTTATTACTGGTAGGTAGATGGGTTAATTTCTTATCACAGAGATAACTCTGATGACTGATGTTGTGTAGGAAGTGAGTATGTCATGTTATGGGTCGGCAGGTGTTGATGTACGTTGCAAATAGGTCCTGAAAACTTTCTTGTTGATTGAGAGAGAAATAATTCATGGTAAAAATTACGAGTAAAAGTAAACTATGTTTGGACCGCTCTTCAGTCATTCTCAAATTCAATGTTGAGAGTAAAAATTAATTTATTTTCACTATGTCAACATTGAAAGTGAGAGTGACCTTACTGATGAGGGTGAAATACATTTAAAATTTAAGAAATTGCAAAGTATAGCTGTGTTACCGTATCAGTTTAGTGTCTTTTGTTTTCACGAAATAATTAGTCTTCACAAAGCTACCAGGTTAGTGGACACAAACATAGTTAAAATTATGTAAGTGTTGATGTTTTCACATAGGTTGCGTCATATTTAAATCCAAATTAGCAAATGACATTTGCTGATTTACTTTCAGGATAAAAATATCAGGAGATTACCTGTTGGTAAAACTTGACGTGGAATTTATTCATGCCTTGATTATTTAATCATTACTTGGTGTTGTAATGTTAGGTATCGTAAAAGCAGCAAAAATAAAAAAGCCTGACCTTACAGCTGTGAATGAGTTGGATCTTGAGAAAGCCTTGGATCAATTGAAGAGCAATGATGCTAAACTCACAAATCTAAACTTGAACAATCATCGAGAGGTTACCACAGAGGTCCTTGAAGATGTAGCAAAGGCACTGAAGAATAACACCAACCTTAAACATCTGCAGTTGGCTAACACACAAATGACAGACATGACTGCTAAGGTACTGATGGTACTTTTATTCCATAAACTGTGCTTAACTCTGTGTGCTATGGTCAACCTTGCGACTGTCAAATTTGTTGTGAATGAAAGTCCTCACCATTAGAGATGCCATGAATAGTAATGTGATTTGCAACTGCCAAAAGTTTGTGGTTTTAAGCCATGACTGGTTGGATTTAAACTGAGTCTATAGTATAGCCTCAGGCCTTTCTTTGTTTTATCAGCTTTAAAGAAAACAGTATGATTTAAAAGTTGATTGTTTTTAATTATTATTTTCTCTTGGCTTAGTTGTTTGCAGAGGCTCTTAGTAAAAACAGTACTCTGGAGAGTATCAATCTTGAGTCCAATTTTCTGACTGGAGATGGGATTATGGTAAGGAAACTGTTATAATGTTTCTATAGGCACACAGGTACCTTTGGACTTGGGTGGGGGAGGCAGTGACCTTCTTGCCCAAAAAAATTACACTCGAGTGTTGAAATTGAGATGCAAACCCACTAAAATTACATGAAAAACTAAAGAGTTTACAATTCTCCCATCTAATGAAACTGCTATAATTTTAAATAATAGTTATATTGAAAGCTTAGCATACATACTGAATGGCCTCTATCAGCAGTCTCATTTTTTGTCATTTTTTGCCCTAAAAATTTGGTAGCAACTGCAGAGTCCACTGGGGCGGGGTTAGATGGAAAACAAACACTGCAGAACTTTCATCATCAATTAAGACAAAGATATTCATCAGTTATGCCTAGTCTTTGGATATTGCCAGATTTGAATTAAATGCCATGCCTATAAGTTCTCGTCCCTCTGCAGTCAATAGCAAAAATATGGTAATTTAATTATTTTCACTGACCAACCATTTTGTAACATATCAATGTCATTAGGAGGAAATAGTTATTAATCACTGTGGAAATCAAAGGGTTACTTCAAGCTAAATTTAAAAAAAACCAACAACACCACCACTAGTACTAATTTGCTTCTCATTTCTAGGCAATTATGACAGTCCTAGAAACCAGCTCCAACTTGAAGGCACTGCGGCTAGCCAACCAGGTACGTAGTGACTATGTTTGCTTAGACTGCAAGTTGAATCGCTTAGAACTCTCTGTCCGAGGATATAAGAAGGGCACCGGATTTAACTAGTTTTAAGAGACAGGTTAAGCAGTCCTGCTTGTAAATAATGTATATTACCATTTGTATTAAGTAATGTAATTATTAAGAACAAGTTGGAAATACTAGCATTTTTGTATGCTAATCAAAAATCCAAGTTAAATAAAGAGATATATGTATGTATGTATGAAATTGCTTCAAGCCTTGTTATAGGCATTTTAGTCACCGTCATTGTAATTGAAATTGTTTTGATGACAAAAACATGGAGAAGAAAGAGACCAGGGCCTTGGTCATTTGTTTAAGCTGCCAAGCTCAAAAATGATGTAGGATTTTATTCCAAAGAGCAAGTTTACAAAGTTAAAGATTAAGTCCTCCATTAGTTGGTCTCCCTCCCCAATATCCTGGCAGCAGTGCCACAGAATACGGTCAATTCTCTCAAAGTGTATTTTGGATACCTCCCTGGGACAGACATGAGTATCCCACTTGTTTTGACTGAATTTAATGTGCTTCCTTGTAACTGAACTCTCTGCAGGGCAGATCAATGCCTCTCAAAAGGAGGCAGGTAGACCTGAACTCAATGATGTCTACCTCAGAGAGAGTTCACTGTATTGCACTTTATGACAGTGATGTGTGTTTTTTGGTTGTATTGTTTTCTTGTAGTGTGCTATAATTGGCAGCCAAGTAGAACAGAAAATTGTCAGCTCTTTGGAGAAGAATACAACATTGTTGACATTTGGCATGAGCTTTGACACCCAGGGACCAAGGATCAGAGCTGCAGAGCTTATGGTCCGAAACAATGATACAAGTAAGTTAGTTCAGTACAGTACTGCTACGGTAAAGTTACTTCTATGATGTAATACGTTAGATTAAAATGTCCATTGGAGAAATCTTGGTTGAGTGGTGGTCTTAAGCTTTTCTGATCAAAAACAGGTCTGAGGTGGCAATTTACAGGTAGTTTTCTTTTTTCTTAAAGTTAATGGGAGATACTTTTTGATGTGCATCAATGAGCAATAGATTGCTGCACCTCTTGAAATTCTAAGAGCATTTATTTAAAATATTTTATCTTTTGGCTGAACTGGACTGCGATGAAAAGAAGAATTCTGACTGGTTCACTTAGCCCTTAATTTTGGGTAAATTAATCATTAAATTCACTTTTTTTTATAGTTCGACTGGACAGGGTTGAGAATGGTGTTGAAGATGAAGACGATGAGGAGGAAGAGGAGGAAGAAGAAGAGGAAGAGGAAGACGATGAGTGAAAAATGATTTTAGAAAACTGTTCATTTGCTTTTCTTCTTTAAGCTGCTATGAAGGGTCACTTATTGTGTGAATTAACTTCAGGGCAACAAAGTACTTTGCAATTAATCAAAGCATCTCTTTGGGAAGCATGTACTAAGATTCCTTGGCAATTCTTTTTCACTTCCATGATTGTAGTTGGTGTTACCAAAACTAGGTGCATGAAGTCAAGCTAGGGATGAAATATAGTTTTTGTCAGTAATTATTTAGATAGGTATAACAATATCGATGAAAAACCTGTATTTGTTGCTAATCTTAGTCTAAAGAATGAATGAATCATACACTTGTGATTTGTCTACCTGCTGTGAGGGAGTTACTTTAATTTATAATAGGCGGATAATTCAAACAATTAAGCTGAGTTCTAACACAGCATGAATTTAAACGATATTCCTGTAATGTGGAAGGAAACAAAGTTGAATTTTACGTGAAACTTTGAGATTCATATCCGCCATAATTGGTGCAGTTCTTCAGCAGTTGTTTTATACCATCCAACACTTCCTTCATTCAGTTGCTGCACGTGCAAATTATGTATGATGGCTGCAACAAAAATAGTTGACGTAAAATTTGGCTTTACTTTTTCCTGTTTCGTTTGGGGATTTCCTGCATGTTTTAACGTCTTGTGTTGGAATTAAATCCCACTTGTTCCTTTCGGCTGTTCAAACACCGAAGTTGTACATGTATGAGCTTTAGTGTTTTTCCCTTTGCTCATTTGTTTCGTTTCTTAGGGTTATTTTACTAGAAATGCTTTTCATTTTACCGTCACTTACATCAGCCATATAGCAAATTATATAATTATGTAGTTTTGGATTTTTTTTAGATCGTGGGAGAAAATCTTAAAACACAAGTGATAGCTTTTTTGCAGTTGTGGTAGCAATTTGTTGAAGCAGCATGAAGAAAGGCCCAAACCATTTTTGTTTTTGGTTTTTTTTTCAGTTTTTTCTTCGCAACTGCTTTCAAAAGTTGATTTTCGTCTAAAACGATTTCTGCCGCTTGTGTAGTGTATTCCATTCCTTGTATTCATTATCGCAACGATATTTATCATGATAATTTTGCATTTCTGTGTCGAAACATGTTTGTGTACAACGATTTTTTTTTCCAGTCATACAACATATGCTTGACTTTTCAATAAGTTGTTTCAACACTCTTCGCCGCAAGTTTCACTTCCGTGTAATCACTGTCATATTTGCAAGCGATGGCTGAGGTTATGTTTTTAATATGATATATTGAATAATCTAGTGATTGAAAAACTGAAGTGAAATTAAAGCTTAATTATGGTGTTTGTGACTGGTTTACCTTCTCCAAAATTTACGGTTCCTCTGGATTGTCAGAAAGGAGGGAACAAGTAAACAAGTAAACACAGGACTGTAAAGAATTCTGGGTGTACTTTACCTTGAGCATGATTAAGACTAGCCGCAGAAGTTTTGAACTTCTCTTAATAACCGGGTCACCTCATCATCGTCGTTCTTGTCGGTAAACAAATTTCTGAGTGAATGGAGAGTAAAGAAGAATGGCTGGCCTTATCTATTTACGGAATGTTCGTGCCTGATTTTTTCCTCGATAATGAAAGACTTTCAGGACTTGTACCAATTTATACAATCATTCCATTCCCTTGCGCCTTTCGATTTGAATGTATCGAAATGATATGCTATTTCACGTTTCAAAGAACGGATTAGTGTGGGTGGTAGGCCTGAACCGTAGAAATAAAGCTGCGTTTTCAAATTTCTCTTTGGTTGAACTAAGCCATTTTCGAGTTGCTTTCGCCTTTCTTGGTACCTGTCCACGCCAAATGACAGTCGCACTATCCTGGCGTTGACCAAAACCCACGCTGTTTCGAGTAGTGCTCGAAATCCTTAAAACACCATTGACATCCATAGAGGTAATTCTAGACAACGCGGAGAAATTTTATTGGCTTCAGCTAACCTCGATTCATCACAAAACTCACGGATTGGCGAATTCGTGCTTTCAGAGTTATATAGTCTCAAGCAGCTCAGTAACTAATATTTACTGCAATTTTTCAGTTCATTTTAACTAAATTTTAATGAAAATTTCCTAGGAGAGGCGTGTAAGAAACGAACAAATCGTTTGGAAACTTTGCCAATTCTTCTGTGATTCGCGACAACGTGAAAACAGTCCATTCTAATTCAGTCTGAGAATCGTTACTTCAGTAGAACAGTGGCAAATGTATGTAACCCGCAAAAACCGAGGGTTAGCTGATGTTTGACATCAATGATCAATCGAAGAGTCCAGCTCTTGAATTTACGCCATGTTGTTTCGTTGTTGGTTGTAGCGACTTTGCACTTGAATGGTTTTCTCACGTGCTCTACAATTCACGATTCACATGCGGTGGTGCCACAGGTTCATTTTCAGTCTCAGAAGCCATCCTCTTGTGTATCTAATTCATACTTCTCTCTAAGTTTAGTTAACTGGATAGCTATTTGAGTATGTGTTCCTTCGGCGACTGCCTTAGATCCAAGACATGATCTGTACTGTTCCTTGGTGAGGTTGGGGTCACACTTCTTGTCGTGAAAATGATGGAAAAGGTCTCTGTCAGGGGCGCGGATAATCCTAGAGTAGAAGAAAAGAATGCAAGCTCAGCTTCTAATTTCTCATTAGACAAATGAAGCATAAATTGCAATTCACGAGAGGAGATTTTGAGGCAAGTCAGGCATTGTAGCAAAATTTGACTTCAATTACCAGGACGTTTCTTTTTCGTTATTGTTTAGATTTTATCTTTGGTTTGGTGTAAATTACAACTGTCGCTCATGTTTTGTGGTTCCGTGGTACTGAGCTTGAACTCCTGGATTCAAGGCTAGCACAATAGAGCAGAATCTCACCTGGTATTTGCTTGTTGCAGGTATCTCTGATACAGTCCCAAGTCTTCAGAGCCCCAGCCTTCAATATTCAAATCAAATCCACCAACTCGGAGATAATCGTCTCTGTATTGACACGTCATACCAAACCCGTATTCCCGCCAAAACCCGTGCGCACGATCTACAGAGAGCGAAAATATTATTAAAAACTTCTCAGATCGAAAAATGGTGTTTCTTTAAACCTAGATGATAAGACAAGACAAGACCAGCGAAACAAAAGACATTGTCATCGCCGGAAGGGGGTAGTTTTATAATGTCGGTCGCTCTAGGTAAAGAGTTTTCTTGTTAAATGGACAAGAAGTTGATACGCAGCACTGTATACAAACATGTAGAAAACTCTTGTTAGATGTTACATTAAGAGGTAAAACGATTTTCTGTACTTGTTTTTAAGTACAGTAAGTGTTAGTGCTTATTGTACTTGTTTTCAAACGCCGACGAACGCGGACAAATGCCGCCGGAAAAGAACCAAAAGTGATGTTGTTGACACTTAACTCTAACGTTGATGGAACAAGAAAAAGGACGATTTATGGCCTTTACTTCACGACCTGCAAGAAAAATACCCCTAGTTCTCTCGTTCTGTGTGGTACCAAGAAACCACAAAAAAAAAATCGTTCAGCTTTACGTGGAGCTGTATTAAAAAGACGCGTTCATTGTTGGCATAACGTTATGGAAATAAATGTACTCGTTACACTAAACGCAATGCGCAGCGCGTGACCTTGACCTAGCCGCACAATACAACTCCTGAGGAGGGTCCACAGAGGAGATATGTAAGAAGTCTTGGACTCTACACAATCAATACCATTTGTTGCTTAGATATCAGATTGATCTAAAAGGTCAATCGAGAAAGTAACTTACCAACTTTTAATTGCTCTGCAGGAGGTGGAATGTTCCCATCTTCGTAAACATTCTTCGGATTGAATAAACTAAACACCATTGGGTAGTAAACTTTCTTCTTCCTTTGTGAATACATGCGACAACGGCGAAGAAAATCAACGCGAAAAGTTATGTCGACGTCACAAAAGAACATTAGAACGTTAGTAGGATTGCTGCTCCAATACATGACACCATCGTGGAGGGCTCTCCCTCGAGAGAAGGGCTTGTCTCTCATAATCAGCTGGTACTTTTTATAACCGTATGTGGCCTCGATATCTTTCAGAGTTGATTTTACGTGGTTAAAGTCTGATGCTCCGTACAGCACTACCGTTAGAAAGACATTTTTGTCGCTTTTGATGCAGACTTCGACAAACATATCTACAAACTGTTGGAATCGTTCAAGTCTCCCAGACAACGGGAGAATTAAATTGATCAATTCATTTTGGTTTTTACTATCGTCTGGGACGGCAACTGGTTGTATGAAGCCCAAGGGACGAATCAACCGAACGGTAATAAATTTATTTGCCGTCGGATCTTTAAAGTAAAGCTCATAATCAATGCCTGTGTTGACATCGATTCGATAAACTCCATCAATAACGTTTTCACGAGTCACGTGGTATGAAGTGTTCGTGTTGATGAAGTTGATTGCAGTGTCTTGCGCCTCGAGAAGATGCCTCTCTCCAGATTTCACTCTGCGTGTATTCACGTTTTGACCGTGAAATATATATTCCTTCGGTCTTTTCCGAGGCGAAAGCTCGAAAAGGTGCGTTTTAGCGAAACTTTGAAAGTGAATTCGTTCAGCTACTTGAATATCGCTTACTCTTGCAGAGGTTTTTATCGTAGAACTTAAATCTTTTGCAACAGCAAGACTTTGTTCCTGGCTTTTGCCGCTGTTGTCTCCGAGTGAATTGCTTTCGACTTCAGCCAGTAATTCTGTGTTCTGAGCTCTCAAGTTGCCCACTTCTTGTTTGAATTTTTTTGCCTGTGATTTCTCCTTTTCTAACTGAGCAGTTAGTCGTTCAATAAGGTCGTCTTTCTGATTAATACGAGATTTTAATCTTTTGACTTCCTTCTGTAACAGTGGGGATGCGTGTTCGGTCTTTCTAAGTTCCCTTCTTTTGACCGGCTCTTCTGATCCCTTCGTTTCTGTAGATGCTCTCTTTGTATAAGATTTCGCATGATTTGATGTTAAACTCTTGGTTAAATCGCGTCTAAGTTCTTGGTGCTTTTTTACCAACTGACCGCCATGACTGTAGATTTGGTAAACAAGAATCACCATCAAAGCTAGTAGTGAATACAGTGTGACTCTTTGAAGTCGCAAAGAAAATATAGCCATCGCTACAGAACATAGTCATCTTCTTGTCTTTGGAGATCCCATCTTCCTAAACAATGCCATTTTCACTGATTTAGAAAGCTTTCTCGCGAAAAGTATCACCAGCGATTTTCGCTTATACACGTTGTTTCCAAGTTCTGGCAGGTTTCGTTGACTGGTACCTGTTTACCAGTATAACTATCCTAGAAGTTCTGCTGATTCCTCTCGAAGTGCCTTTACCGGTAGTCAAAATTATTCGTTTTGCTATCGCGGCGTGAAAATTTGTATCTATGCCAATATTTTCAGGTGTACGGCTTTCGACTGTGAGTTGTATTTCAAGAATTTTCTTACTTGAAAGTTCTCCGGCGAGGAATTCTTTCACCGCCTGACAACCTCTCAATCCGCTGTTATTAGAGAGGAAGCAACATTTTCAAAATAAAGTGTTACGCAACAGATTGGAACGCGACGGTAGCAGCAATATCCAGGCTATAATGTTGGACGAGTTGTGAAAATGCTGGCAACTTTTCATACCAGTGTGGAAAACTCCACAAACCAGCGAAGCGGTAAACTTCCTTTGAAAGAATACAATGACTGGTTTAATTGTTTCATTCAAGACGTCCGATGTATCAATGTAGCTTGTTTCTGTAGAAAAAGAGTAAACAACAGTATAGTTTAATATGAACTAATCACACTAATAGCTATTAAAAAACCCTTCAATCGGGAGTGTAAAGTTTCATTTCCTTATCGCGGTAAATTAAAATTTGTAGGCGCAAGGGACCAACTAACACGTTTATAGAGCGCGTAAAAGTAAACAAGTTTCCATTGACCCGCGTGCACTTGTTACTTGTGTTTACCGGGTGATCAAGTTCAATCTACGCAAGATTTTCACCATTCCTGACCGCATGTTTTGGGGTTTTCTTACATTATTTTGCAGTTTAATGCAGTAACTGCCCAAATTTTTTTTATGAAAGAACAAGAGCATCAAGGTCCTTTATTAGTTTGAGGGGAAGGCGGGGCTGCCTCGAAATATGCACTTCGGGAATAGCTGGTAATTAGTGACACTGAGAGATACAATTGATAACAACGATCGATAAACCAACTAATGCATGTAGTATATTGCTTTGGGCGAAAACAGAACTTGAGCAATTTTGTCCCTTCGAACCGGCGTTATCCAAGTTCAGCTTAAGGTCGATTTTTTTTTTATTTCCACACATGCACAACAAAATACAGATTAGGTTTGAAAAAATGTGGAGGTTTGTCTCGAACATGTGTGATACGATCAGCGTCTCTTATATTCAAGAAACAGGACTCATAGATTCTGGCAAGCAAATTATTTTGGTACTTGTATACACCCACTTGTGATTTAGTGATACTAAATATATTTGAAATAACTAATCTACCAAATAGACGTCTGCTATGATCTCGCTACCCTCGCCCNCTAGTTAAATTCCTGAACGTATACACGTAAAACGTAATCGGTTGAAATATTTCTTTGTCGCACTACCAATATAAGATGCTTACTTTCGATAATTAGCTCTGGGCTTATATTTCTACAAGACAATATTTTGGTGTATTTTATTTCGCAGTGCATTTATTATAGGATGGGCCTACAGGGAGAGATTTTAATTACGTTTTAAAAATGTACGGGTATATATTTGAAAGGGATTTTACATGCATGCAATAACATCGTGTGGCCAAACTCTCTATACAGTCGATATGATTCACAGCACAAGTTTTTTGCCTTTAACTAACAGCAAAAGGAGGAATAAAGTACCGTAAAAAGTTAAGGGTAAAAAAAGTTAATATATTAAAAGACGTTTACCCGCAGCACGAGCAATTCAGGTTGGGGCAGTCTGTTTTGGTGTCCATCTGTCAATTGGATATCGAAATTTAAATCGACATGAAATCCTTTTTTTGTCTTTATTCTTACTTCAAATCCACACCTCTTCCTTTTCTTTCGTAAAACTCTTTAAAATCTTCAAAAGGATCTTAAAATTCCATGAGGCATTCTTAGATCAAACAGATAATAAGAGAATAGGGCCAAACAAAGCGTTTGAAATGTAGCTCTGAACAGTGTTCCACCCGATGAACATCACAAGTTTCCGAACAAAAATAATAAAATGCTCTCCTGCAGAAGGATTTGATTATTCTGAGGAAGCTAGTTACTGTAGCTATATGACCATCATTCTTTAAGTACTAACTCTAAATAAACTTCCATGGGCGTATATTCTGAAGGGCTTCAGAAATTATCAGAATTTTGCTGGTTCTAGATGTGGCTATATATTCGGAGGACACGCACTTTCGGGAGAGCTGTTTTCAGCATTTTATGGTATACTAGACTGCATATGTATATTTGCCTCGTGAATTCAAACTGTCATTGTTGCGTTCCAAGGAGATCACGAGGATCAGTCAAAAAATCGAGAAAATAGCGTGACCCAAATCCTGGGAATACCAAGTCCCTAAATATGATTGTCGCTCAAAATAGTATCCTATTAAAGTGGCCCCATGATATCTCGTGATAAATCGCGTTTCCGGCAGTAAGTGTAGCCGAGAGTTTGCAACAACACTACTCAATATTCACTGCAATAGAATGAAAGCTAAAAAAATATCTCCAGAAAATGAAAGAAAATCACGTTGTCTAATTTCATTCTTATAATCTGGTACTGTTTCCCCAAATTACTTATTCGTATTCCTGTAGAATCATTTTTATCCGATGTATTTGTATATCTATTTGCATTTGGCAATGTAAAATGGAAATAAAGAACGCCCAACCCTAAACCTAATCAACGCTGATATGATATTTAAAGTTAACGAGGGATCTCATTTTGTTCATAGAAACGGTTTGTTCACTCTGTTAAGTAATACCATTGTGTTTGACAGAAATATGTGGTGATAGGAATCACTATTAAGAAGTTTATCTCGCATTAATAACACATTAATAAATCATGAAGTTAAGACAAAGGAAATCATTACCGTCACTGTAGTTTGACTCTCATCAGTTCTCTGTTTACTCTTTGTTCTAATCTTGACTACGAAGATGGGAAAATAGACAAAACAGACATAGTTTCTCGGCGCATTTCCAATCACCTTGAATTTCAAGAAAGTAAATATTTTCGGCAAGATTTCAGTATAACCCAACACTTATTATGTATGTAGTTTTTTCTCGAGTGTCTCTAACAATGAATTCGAAGCTGGCTTATCGTGCATCGCGTTACAATCTTACCGTGCACTGTAGCTGAGAAGCGGCCTTTTAAAATTGTGAACAGGAGAGTATGAAAACTCGTTCGCCTTGCATTCGCAAAACTGGCTGCATTCTCCGAGTGGCTGCTAGCCGCGCCTATTCGTACTGGCGGGTTACCAACGATTTGAATAATCAGACAATATAAATCCTTTCCTGGGAAGAAAACCAAGCTCTAGGCATACAGTATTTATATTAAAACTGTTTTGTTCGGTGGGCTTATTTTGGGTGGCTGGGCTCAAGGGTGTCGGAATAATTTCAGATACATTGTAAGAATACCAAATGAAAGAAACCTCCACTGCCGTCGTGACACCAGCAAGTTCTTACTACGATCACGGTTTTGGAATATACCTTCAAACCTGCTGTAAGTCACCACCCAAAATGTCAAGCCTAGGTGGTCGCTTACGGGAAGTGGTCACCTACTAGACCTTAAACCATATTGGGTCAAAATTTCGCCTCATTAGCACATGGTAACTACAGATCCCATATTTTAAATATGTTATTCATATGAGAAGTCAATTTCGAAAAAATGCGGTACTTCCCATTGAGAAATTTCCGTCCGTTGTACTAGCCAGGAATTCGATAATGTTACATCTTATTATCCAATGAAAGTGACACACGAGGCGATAGCCGATTCTAAACAAATACAAGATGGATTTCCTATGTTCTAAGAACAAAATGCACTTTTGAAGTCTAGAGAAGTGCTGAATGCACTCGTGTTTTGCTCGTGCGTTAGCCTGCAGTGCAGGCGTTAGTTTTGAATGGAACGCTCGATAAACCAGGTTTTCGATGCCGCCATTTTGGATTGTAATTGGATACTTGACCGGTGGAAAGTTAGTGCAGAGTATTTTTCCTTTCCTTCCCCTTCCTCACTTGCCCATTTTTCACGCCTGCTCCTTTGGCAAATTTTTCCTCGCCCCAATCCTCTGCACTTACCAAATCGAAGATGGCGACCTAATACGAAACCGTGCACTCGCCCAAAATACCCCTGCATTGCAGGCTACTCATGTGTCCACTAGTAGTTTTTCCAGACTCAAGCGTACATCATTTTCTAAGAGAATGTCGAACACCATCTTTTATTTTGTAAATAAAAGCTAGAACAAGGTCAAGATTAAAGGGCTCACAATCAGACGAATTAACTCGTTTTTAAGAGTCAATTAACGCTGTTCAAATAATGCGAATGTTCCAAGTAAAGGAATGAACGCAAATAAGAAGATAAAATTTCCCGTCGCAGGAGATTAATGCGAATGGTATAAAGAACGAGACAGAGCAGAAAAATAGTAAATTAACAGAACAAAGAACACAACAAGATTAATGTGCGGACATACAAAGATGTCTTTTGTACTTGATTCTTTGCTGTTCTTTGTTAAGGATGCCGAAAGTAACACTCCATTAAATGAAGGCATCTTTTAACACGAATTATTAAAAGGCGCTTTAATTTCAAGTAGCGTCAATGTATCCACTCAATAGAGTACATCAAAATCATTCATTTTGGATTGGTTTCCTAATCGACTTTGGCGAGAGAATTGGCTTTTTTGTCAATCCATCTGATTTTTCACATCTTTGCTTCGCCGCCTCCCCGCACCTTTTGAAACGCTCATTTGTCAGCAATTTGTTTTTCTGTGTGGGTGTTGTTCGTTTTGAGACATTTGCTGCACGTCATCGGTAATCGTAACACCCGAAAAGTGGGGCCTGATTGGCTAAGAAAACAAAATGTTTTTTTTTTCAATGGCCAATTCCCTCTACGAGATGTGTCTGCTAGGAATCGTGGTAGTTATATTCATCATTTTATACTCGATATTTATTTGATGAAAACAACTAACATGGTTCCCTGCAGGCGCGTCTGATAGAGGGAATTAGCCGTTGGTTGATCAGATTGCACGAGCATTTTGGAGGAATGGCCGAACACTGCTAATCCAAAACCATAGCAAACAAAGAATATCTTCGACAGTGAATGGTTGGGAAATATTTTTGGCTAGCTAGTAAAGAGCAATGCATTTTCCAGACTGGTATACCGATTTCTTTATTGAAAAAGCGATCTTAATTAAATTACACCAATGAAACCGATCGAAATAATTACAATTCTAACAAATAACAAAACTGTTAGTTCTTTCAATTAAATAATGATTAAAATATATTGGCTAAGTCAAAAAAGCTCTTAAATTAAACAGTGTAAACTTATTACAACCTTAAGTCAACTCCAAATATACCTCTAGAATACGTTGTTTTTAAAAAGCAATCTCTCAGTGGATTAGGCCTTAAAGGGAGTTTTTCTGTATACTTACTGTAGGATAACAGTTAATTTTTTTGTTTACAATACACTAAAAAAGCTCGGAATCCTTACCTATGAAGGAGATTACAGAAGCAACCATCATATACGTAAGATAGTGCGAAGTTAAAATTAATACGTAAAATTTAAGAACAATGCTAACTATTATCTAACGTATAAAAGCCTTGATTGCGAAACTTATTTCATTCCAAAACAACGGCAGACAAAAAGCTTTTGTTCCGTTTCTTTGGACGCAACAGAATTTCGTTAGTGTCTGTTATGTGCCGGCTGGAAAACGAAGAGAAAAAAGACTACCTCAAAGCGACTTCAAAGCAATAACGAAACTCTCAAACTCATAGGGTTTCAGTTTAAAGTGAAGCACATCTGGATATATTTACCCTAAATTAAGTTCACTAGATGATTGTGGTACAGTTCGTTCTGGGCGCAAATATTATTTTCTCGATAAAATCTTTGTAGCATAATAATAATAAAAGTTGTTGTTGTTGTTGTTGTTGTTGTTGTTGTTGTTGTTGTAGCTTATAAACGGCTGTTTAACCGTTATCATAGTAGTCTCAAGTTACAATGTTGGTTCTTTTAGTTCCCTGTTATGATCTGAAAGCAACGTGTTCGCTGAGGTCGGCTTGTCAGTTCCTGGGATGTCTTATTCTACCTCAAAGCCGTGCAATATTCGATCCCATTCTTGTGCTTGCGGCGGGTGCCCCGGTTGGTCTGGCATCCTCTCATCCTCTTCTTGTTCTTTCATCTCGGACGCCACCTGTGCATGCTCCCTACCACTCTCAGCAGCTTTGGTTCCATGGCGGTATCTTTCAATTGAGTCGTTTAACTGCTCATGGATAGCCCTCGCTCGGTCTCTCAACGACAGCAATGTTTCCAAATGGCGAGCAGCATCACTTTCTCTGACGTCTTCATGGAGCGGCCTTCCGTACATTCTTCTTGTATTCAAGATTTCGTTCCCAGGTCTCTTGGGAATATTGGTGTCCGGAAAACTGGGGGATCCGCGGCGGCCATCGTAAAAAATTCTTTTCTGCAAAACAGTGCTTTCAGCTCGGTCTAGAATATCGTTTTCCGGTTCTATGAATGGGCTACGATCATTTGCTTCCATCATAAGTCTTTTCAGTAATACCTTCCTCTCGGGTGATGTGCTTCCAAGCCGCGGATCATCAAGAAACGTGGCAGGGTATTCTTCACGTTTCTATTGTACATGCAATAATAAAAAGAGCATTCAAGTCAATAATTGCTCGATAGTACAGTGCCAAAGCTGATAATGGTTCTGGTCCAGCGACATGGGAACCCCGGGACGGGGACTCCCATATCAACATGGGAACTAGGCTTTTACACAAGTTGCTCGGCAACTTTTTGGCAACTTTTGGCCTTTCGAGCAACTTTTGAGCAACTTTTGTTTTAGAGCATTTTTTCGGCAACTT